AAAAAAAACATGAAAAAGGAGAGGAAAATATTTTAAAAATGCAACATTTATTGTCTTCTTTTAAGTCAATGTATAATGCTTCTTGGACCACGCACTTGGGGCATCTAGTGGATTACTCTCTTAAATACTTCACAAGATTCAATATATATATATATATAAGTTTACTTATTGATTTGCTTAGTTGAAATATTAGTTAAAAGTTTAAGATAATACAAAATGTAAAATCTATGACAAATGTCTAGTGTTTGTTTTATGTTACACCCAGCGAACTTCAATATGTCATATCTTATGTAATCAACCATCGTTAGGAGTGTTAGTACTTAACCTCTATTATTAGAGTATGGGTCTAAGGTTCGAATTCTGATCCTCCCCTTCTTTCTCAATTTGTAACATAATTTGAATTTCTCGGAGGAAAAAGAAAAATAACTTATATCCTATGTATTCATTTACATTTTATACATATACACATGTATATGTATGTATTGTGTACAAAGAAAATATAAAAAATAACCCAATGAAATTCACCAAGCCTAACATATAGAGACTATTTAAAATGATACTAAAATTTAAATGATGAATGTGCTAACTTTTTGTTTTTCACATGCAAAAACTTTGGACACTAAAATCATGCGAGCCATAATCGAGGTGGCCGTTTTCACTTTTCAAAAATAAAATAATAATAATAATAATAAATTATAATATTTAATCTCTTTTAAACAAGAAATTATAATATTTAATCACGAATTTTGAAAGTGTTTGATGAAGGTGGGATTTTCTTTTCTTGGTTAAACGTTACAAACCTTTTCACAAACAGCTGGTGTGCATTGTTTGGAATGGATGATGTGATGACCTTTGTTTGTATTGTAATCAAATATTCTTTGCACAATTGTTCTTTGTATTACTATCTTACCACACACCTTCTACACCAAAAAAAAGAATTATAATGAAACCCCCCATAAGTAAAAATGTTACAATTACACCCTTGGAATATTTTGGACTAATTAACATCACACATTTATGGTCGAATTTGACATTTTAGAATTGTACTATATGGCATTTACAAGGGAAAATAGTGTTAGATTAATTACATATCTCAATTAGGAGTTAGGACAATTGTAATTTTACAAACGAAAGATTCAAGGGCTTATTTGTAATTTCACACACAACAAGCTTTCTCTCACACACAACACATACTGATGCATGCAGAGAGAAAGAGAGAGAGTTCCGCAATGAATGACCTAGCGTTTGGAACAAGTACTGATCATGTCTCCAGGTTTGAATTCTCTTATCAACGGTCGCTAAGTCGTGTTTGTCACACGTGACCAATAACATAGTGTTGTTTACACATTTCGTACAATTAGTAAGCTATTATACGAAAATGCAAGCCTACCTAATGCACCTATATGATTGACTTCAGATTATTTTTTTATTACCGAATAAAAAAGTAGAAATAAAAAGATAGAGAGAGAGAGCATGCAATAGATCACATAAAAGAAATAGCAATAAGTGGTTGTCGCATGTGAACGTTTGTTTGGGCACTCATTTCATCATGCTTCATCAGAACTTTTAATTTATTTTAAGAAAGATGATTAAATTAAATTATTTGAAGATTTTTGTCCATTTTCAATGCCAGCTTTATCAAACATTTTCTGACATTTCCAGGATTTACTATTTTCCAGAAAATTAAATAAATATATAAAAAATTACTAATTTATCTGACTCAACCTTAACATTTGTTTCCCAAACATGGAACAAAAAGTGATTCCACTAACTGTTTTTTTTTTTTTTTAATAAAATTAAAATAATTATAATTTAATTTTGGTTTTATTTGGAATTCAATTTTGTTATTATTATTGATTTTTGGGTAAGCAAAATAATTGTTGCACACACCTAAGTATATGGCAACAATTATTACTCATGCTTCAATAAGTGATGTTCTTTAGCACTCCACAATCATACTTGGCATGAGCTGTTTTATTTTATTTTATTAATTTTGAATTTTGGAGGTGAATTATACGTTGATTGTTTTTGTAAAACAATTATAATCCAAGAATTGTTAAAATAATTGAGCTAATAATATTGTGATAACAAAATTTAATTTGATATGATTAACCTAGCTAATTTACGAGCTTGCCACTGTGTATCGGAATAAAAGATCGTATTTCTTATGCTTCATTTAATTCCTAAAATAAAGATTATATAATCTTAAGTAGGGGTGCAAGTTGGAACGGATTTTCCAATTTCCGCCGGTTCCGATTCGAAAAGTTCCGATTTTGGAACAACTTTTTTCATTCCGACTTCTGAAATTCCGATTTCCGAAATTTTCCGATTTTTTTGGATTGGAATTGGAATTATATAAAATAAATTTGGAATTTCCGATTTCCGATCCGATTTGATTCCGAAATTAATTCCGAAAAATTCCGATTTTTTTTTCGAAAAGTACACCTATAAATAATATATATTATATAATACTTATTTTTCGAAAAATACACCTATAAGTTTTGTTTTAGGATTTTGACATAATGAACTGTTGTTAGAAGTTTTATTGGATATTATGTTGTGTTCATTTTTATTTACTTTTTTGAACTGAAATTTAGTAGTTATTAGTTTTACTTTTATCGACGTGGATGCTCTTATTTTCGAAAAATTATGAACATTGTAGAAAATTTCGGCTAAGTTTTGAAATTTTAAAGCTTATGTGATTTCCGATTTTTTTCCGAAATTCCGAAATTTCCGGGCCTTTTGGAATTGGAATGAATTTTTAGATTCCGAAAAATTTGGAATTGGAATTGGAATTAATTTTCTACTTCCGAAACTTTTTGGAAATTTTCCGAAAAGGCTAATTCCGATCCGATCCATCCGACTTTCACCCCTAATCTTAAGAGAAACTAAATTGTATAATGAATAAATTACAATCACATCGCTGAGGTAAAATGTCATCATATATATATATAAAAAATTATTCTTTTTGAGAAATTACATTCAGCTCCCTGCAGTTTGTAAGTTTCTTACATTCATCCCCTACAAAAGGGTGTTGATGTAAGTAATCTATAAATTTTAGGGTTGATGTAAATTATGGAAAATGAGAATTTTTTATCTTTCGTAAATAGATCTGACATCGGGAGAACAGTTGTAATTTAGATTTACTCTCATATAATTGAACTAAGAATCAAGGTCCAATCATAGTTTTTCAATTAGCCAAAACAATACCTCATTTTTCTTAATTGTGAAGCGACATGAAAAGTTGTTATACTACTCAAACATCTTACAAGGCTGAATTAAACAATTACATATGACTTATCTTATCAAACAAACGAAGTTAAACCTATTGATCAATTTGGTCGAAGTCAAACCGTGGTCATGTCTGATTTAGAACAACAGTATAAATATCAAATAAAAATGTTGAGCAATTAAAATAAGCCCCCGAATAAATTTCAAATTTACGCGTTGATTTTTTTTTTTTTTGCGTGTGGGGATTCAAGACCTTATTGCACCGTCAAAAAATTATATTGCATGATCATGATTCATTTAATTCTTCATTTAGGTTATGTAACGATGTACCAAAATAAAAATTAGGTGTTAGTCAAATCAAATGAATTGGAAATCTTCAAAGAATTAAATGCCCCTATCATTAATAGGTACTACGGTCTACGGATATTATTGCAATTCTATTATTGTGAGTATGACCAATGAGTAAATCAACAGTGGTCATGCTTATTTTGAAAGTCTAACTTTGATTTTTATTTTTGGTAAATGATGTTCCCTTTCTTTAAAGAAATCTATGATTTTTTTTTTATTTTTTTTATATTATAATTTGAGTCATTCCATTCAATACTTTTATTTTTATATATACTTTTGAGAAAAAAAAATTAATCCCGATGCGATCAACAATAAGCTAACTCTAATCACTTAAAATTGATTCTCGAACATGCAACAAATATTTAAGAATTGGGTTGATGTTGTGATAATCTTCTTCAATTTGGAAAAACAAGACATTTCATGCGTAAAAGAAACACACGTTAGAGTGCCGAAGCTTGATTCCGGCGAAAATCCTCGATGCTTAAGCCACTCAAAATCCAAGGGAAGAATATGGAGAGAATTCAAGAACAAATATGCTGATGTCTAAATGAAAATTAATTACCTTTTCTTAATAGGATTGAACTATTTATACACTGGATCAATTAGTCATGGGCGTTGGAATTTTAACTTGGGCTTTGACTTATGAGTGGACCCTGCATTTATAATTATAAGTTTTCTGCTTATTAACCATGAATAGTAGTCCATGTACATCAGTTCCATAATATTTGTCACTAATTCCAATATTACAATAATTACGTATATTTCAATTATGTCTCCATTAACACTCCAACATTATCTCTGCATTAACTAGTAAACAAGGGTATTTTAGTTTAATAAAATCTATTTTATTTAAATCAAGACAGATTTATTAAGTTTCTTAAGATTTATGCAAAAACGAAGTTATGAGTGATCACCAAATCTGCAGTTAATATTCAACAATATGTTTGAAAATTTGATAATACATCATAAATGTATGGTGGGGATCCGTTTGAAAATTTGGTATGAAGAAAACAAATGCATCTCCACTAATGTTGAATAATATGTATAGAGTACGGCTAAGTACTTTTGTCTTTTGTTTTGTAGTGAGAAGATAAGAAAAAGGTGTCAAGATGTTTGGTTAGAGAATCTTATATATTTAGTTATTTTTACCTCTATTTTAATTTATTTAATATTTATTTAAGTTCATGTAGTGCTTTGAAGACGATTGGGATCGATTGATCTAGTTTGAATTCGTTTTGATACAGATGATTCGATTCATATTGGATCTTATCAAATTCAAGTGGAAAAACTTCGCTTGAAATATCCATTGAAATCCAGATTCATACTGGATCCACTATGGATCCAACATGTATCTGCTACGAGTCGAACATTGATTCGCAATAGATACAACATGGATTTACATTAGGTGTGATTGCAATAGGGAGAGGAAAACAATATATCAAGCAGGCGGAAATTGGATCAAATTAGTGAAAATTTGAATAAAATGATTGAAATTAAGTCTGTAAAAATGTTTGAAGTCAAACAAAATGGGTTAAACGATAAAAAAAAATTTAAATTGGAAACAAGTATATAAATTGATCCAAACGGGTTAACCCGCTCGAATATTCCCAAAGCTAGTAAACGAATTCTTTGATGAAAAATGTCCAATCCTAGAACATAGATTCATTCTATTTTGTTTCTCCGCTCGAAAATCAAAATAGATCAAACGGAAAAATGAGGATCTCTAAGAAATTGAAAAAAGAAATTATGGAAAGGGAAAAGTTTCCAAGTATTAATTGAAGGAAAATTGGCTAAAAGTTTCTTAAAAATATTTTGTATAGCCAACGTTTAACAGTCTGCTCGAATATTTTAAATTTGCTAAAAGTTTCCCGGGGCAACTTAGACTGAAAATAGACAACTTAATTAGTGAGTTTTAACTTAAAATAGATAGTTTAGATTGAAAATTGACGGCTTAATTGGACAATTTGGACTGAAAATAGACATCTTAGATGAAAATAACTTTTTCCCAATGATTTCGCGGCGGAATATAGGCGGTTGGTGGCCGGGGACTAGTAGAGCGAGGCGGAAGAAGTGGAAGAAATGTCATTTTTTGGAGTGGATGTGATTTTGAGGACGTATGAGTTGAAAGATAATAAGGTATTTTCAATCTGACTATTTTCGTTTTAAGCTCTCTAATAGTGCTGCCCTAAAGACTTGTATTAAAATTTGAAAATATAATTGTCTTGATTTAAAAAAGTATCAGTGTCTAACAAATTGTCCATTAATCAAAAGTGAAATTATTGGTGGTTGGGGCTTGGAAACAACAAAGGCTCAAGAGGAACATATGAAGTGGTTTCCTTACAACTCCAAAAATGAGAACAATAAAATAAAATAAAATACTTTGGGTCAATAATTCTGAGGTTTTTCTGTCCTCAAATGAGACGAATGACAATTCATAGTGGTCCATTTATTTATTTTATTTTATTATATTATATTATATTTTATTTTATTTACATTATTAATTCAGTATGTGTCTGTGGATTAGTAAACAGTATAATTGGTGACACAATCTTGTGATGTGAATTATTTAAAAAATTTAGTGCTTTTATGAGCAGATAAAATCTTGAATCTTCACATGCACCACTTTCCACTTTAGTGGTTCTGACAAAGCTGTAAAATGTTAACTGTATTCTTCAAGATTGTGTCCAAACAAAAGAAAAAAATAAAGTAAAGAAAAAACAAAAAGAATTATTTATTTAAAAACTTAAGTTGAAATGTATCGTTTAATATTAATATCACAAATACTTTGGAGCGACGGAGTTAACATCTTTTCAGTCATTTGTAAACTTCATTTGCTTATTTTCATTTCTTTCTTGAATGCAAATTTATCGGTTTTTACCTATTTTTGAATTTTGTTTTTTTTACATGGGTTGTTGGAGCTGATTTTATTTTGGGTAGGAAGAAATTTCATTTTTTTTTCCCACTATATTTAGCATTTTAATTCGATTAATATTTTCAATTTGTTCCATATGTTTTTGGTGACTTTTTTACTTGTATTGCTTTGCCTTCTTAACTTCTCTGTTATTGAATCTGCAGAAAAATAAATATCGGTAAAATTCATATTGATTTATGTTTTCAATACGTGAAAACTTATGTATTGGAGTTATGCTTGTCTACATTACTGGTGGAAACATAGTTCATTTCTTAAGACTCACATATGCTGATGTTAAATTATAAATATTGAGAAATATGGAATTGTACGACGGTGCTCGTTTCCTTGATGATCTTCTATGTATTTTATTACTATTACAATTATTTAATTTGTTTTTTACGGTTTCAAGGCAATTCTAACGTGTTCTACATTTGTAATTGGAACTATTTTAAATTCCGAGTAAAATTCTCACGAGCTTCCCATTTTTTGTATATGGGAAACGAGTGTGTAATGGTTGGTAAACCAGTGGTTAGTATTCATATGGTTTTGTAGCCATTCCGTCAAACGTTGATTTCCATATTGTCGAGGAGGCGGACATTTCCGAAAATTGCAGCAACACAGAACACAGCAGGACTACTACTACTAATCTCTTTCAGTGCTTCCAAACTTTCCTGCTCTACAATCTGTCGAATGAACATAAACAAGAATTGAGAATTTGTTGCATATAACAATAGAGTATAATAAATAACAGGGTAAATTTCAACCACCCCCGAGGTCTGGTCAATTTACGAAAAAACCCTTCTTGTTTGGGTAATACATCTACCTCTCAACTATGATTTTTTCAGATGAATAGAAAGAAGAAGATAGTAAAAGAAAAGCAAAAAAAAGTGAGAAAAAGAAGGATAAAAGAAAAAAGCAAAGAGGAGAAAAGAGAAAATGAATGATAGAAAAATAGAAGAAAGCGAAACACAGCAGATGAGCAGCATCCTTTTGCAAAATGAAATAGTAACAAATGAGACAGAAAGAGAACAAAAGTGAATTGGTTACAAAAAATCTGGAAGTTACACTAAATGTGAAACCGCAAGGGTTGACGTGACGTGTAAGAAGATTAGTTGAGGGGTGGTTGTAATTTACCCTAAATAAAAAGCCAAGCAATTCCATGTTTTGCTTATTTGAAACGGTGCTTTATTAAGGAAAAAAATACGGACAACCCGGAAATAACATGTATGTGCCTCACCTCTGCATAATCAACTTTTCCACCAGCTTCTTGTATGGCCTGGATAACAGAATCTCTCAACTCTTTGCAATTTAACTGACCATTTTCTGCTGCAAATTTCGCATTCGACAGCGACTTGCTTATTGACAATGCCTGCAAAAAAACAACATTTTTTTTTTGATGATTATATATATGCAACTAACTAGACAATGAGCATCATCTACTTGATCTCAATATTCCGGCGGAAAGAAAAAAAAAAAGAATGAAATATATATACCCTCTCCCTTTCTTGGGGAGACAAGTGCACATTACGTGAACTCTTTGCAAGGCCATCTTCATCGCGAATTAAATCTGCACCAATCACATTTATCCCGAAATCGAGATCTCGGACCTGAAAAGGCAATCAATCATCCAGACAAGGTCAAGAAAAAAATCGAACTAATTGAGTTGATTGAGTGCATCGACAAAACGTTTTTTTTTCGATATTACAACACTGGCATTGGCATTTTCCCACAGCTTGTATATTTCCCGATCATCTAAATCAGTCAGTCCATTAAAACAACCAAGAATAAATAAAATAAAAAATTGGAATTCGGAAATGGAATTCGGAAATTGGAATTCGGAAATGGAATTCGAGTTGTTGTTACTTACCATTCTTTTAATAATCCTCCACTGCTGATAATCCTTCTTCCCAAACACAGCAACATCAGGCTCGACAATATTGAACAGCTTGGCAACAATGGTGGCGACACCTCTGAAGAAAACAGGCCGACTATTCCCACACAAACCGTTGTCCAATCTCTCAGCTCTCACCCACGTCTCGTGACCCATCCCACCATTAATTTCCACGCATGAAACCACCTTCCCCTCTTCTTCTTCTCCGCCACTACTTCTCCGGCCACCGTAATCGTACAGATTTTGTGGGTGGAAAACGACGTCGACGCCGCCACTAACGCTGTTCAATTTCTGAATATCGCCGTCAAAATCGGAGGGGTAAGTGGATAGATCCTCGTTGGGGGAAAATTGGCCTGGATTTACATAAATCGAGACGACGGTGAGATCAGCGTGCTTTTTAGATTCATGGATCAGAGAAAGATGGCCGCCGTGGAGAAACCCCATCGTCGGAACTAAGCCGATGGTCTTGCCTTCTGCTCTGGCTGATCTCGACCACTCTCTCATTTCATCTTTACCTCTGATTATCAACGGAGGATCTTTGCTCGCCATCGAATCGAATCGAAGAAATTTTGCAAGTTGGTCCTTCAACTAGTCTAGGGTTTGGAAGCTTCCGATCAAAATTCGGTAAAGAGCATAAAAATTTGTGAGCATTACCGATTGCATTTGTGCCGGTTGAGCGACGCCTACACTGCGGCGGCGACGGCGGCGACTAGCTGAGAATCGGAGGACTGGAAGAGTTGGGGATTTCAATTCTCAGACCAGATTTACAAATAGATACAAAAAGGCCTGCATTTACTATAGGGCTATTTTGCAAAAATAGCCCAAATATTGGGGCAAAAAGGGATACTTTCATTTTGGATAAATTGCACCTACACCCCTGAGGTATGCTAAAATAACTATAAGGTCCCTTTGGTATTGGTAATTTCAGCCACACCCCTGAAACAATTACAGAAGCCAGGATTTCATGTCCTGGGGACCGATGTTTGCCGTGTGAGTTGCACGTGTGCATCAAATAGACTTTTTAGTTGCCGGTGCTACAATTTAGTAAGTTGAGGTATGCCCGTGCAACTTTTTTCCTTTCACGGGGTAAAGTGCCAAAACATCGAAAGTTTAGGGGATTTTTTGCAGTTGACCCTATAATTTATTTCAATTTTTTTGTGCCGACAGCTCCAATGGTCTGAAAATTTTATGCGAAGAACAATGTGTACTGTCGAAGCACCGAATGGACGTCTTTGTATTGAAGTGCTTCAGATAGAAGGTTTGCCAGGCGGTGAAATCGATGTTGAACTGGCGGAGTACGTGATCGAGAACGCGCCTTCACTCAAGAAAATAGTTATCGACTTTCGTCGAATTAAACCTAATGTTTTTCGCAAGTATGAGAATGTAATGGCTAAACTAGGTGGAGCAGACATTGTGGATAACGATCGGATGGCGATTGTTCGATGATGTACGACTCTTGTTTTAGTAACTTGCTTATATTATTAGGACATATTTTTGCTGGAAAAATAAAATAAAAATTAAAATATCTAGTGTTGACACTCTTGACCGGTTCGACTCTTGTTGTGTTTGTAGCAATCGGTAAGTCTCGAATTTTACTTGTGCTTATGATTTGATCATATTTCCTTAGGATGCATAAGAAATCGGAGGGAAAAAAAGAATTAAACCGAAATCAACGAAATTCGAAAAATTGCACTCTAATTTCAACTCCTCGTTGAAAAGGCCCGGCATTTATCACAATTTGCATGCACAAATGCAAGCATTTCATGCACGAGTTAACGACACATTCGATAACAATTTTCTCGATTTCCATTCCCTTATAAAAAATAAAAAAGTAAAAACTTTGAAATGGTAAATGAGAAGCCATTTATATTTCTATTGCCACTTTGCAGAACGGGCAAGTCAAAGAACAACGGTAACATATAACATTTACTTGGTATTTTTGTTTTTTCGAGCTACATCAACGAGCAAGAATCGAGGCCGACAAAAAACCTTAACGACCAAAAATAAAATTAAAAAAACCCGAAGATCTCCTTTCAGAAACGAGAAAAATTAGACGGACGGAAAATACTTGTTGAGGTTGAAAGGCAGTGAGTAGAATTCCTCACTTCTCGTGTCGGTTTTGAATGTTTTGAATTTATCCCACCAATGTTTGCCTCTGTCTTTCCTTATCTGCGGATCCTTTTTCTCGAGCGTATTATCGAACAAAAATGCTAATACTCCCGCAATGAAAGCTTCCGACGAAAACGGGACGTTTACTATGTCGTTGAACTGCCAATAAAAAAAAAAAATTAAGTTTATTATCAGAAAAAAATTTACAAAAATTAAAATAATTATTTCTTGATAATATACCCATCTAGCAGATGTGTGGACTGGGCTGTATCCTTTTATCGCAGTGTACTCGTTGAAGTACTGAGGCACCGATAAGCCCAAAAATATCGGTACGGCTAAAATAAATTTGTTTCGGAAACTGTTTAATTGGCAGAACTGAAGGAAACTGAAGCCGCCGGCACCTATTTATGTTGTATAAAATAAATGATTATTCTATTTTAGTAAAATGTAAAGCAAGTTCAGCAATTAAAAAAAATAAAATCGAGTGTTATATAGGTACCGGCGTAGGCGAAGAAGATGCAGTACAAAGCAGCAACGATGGGTGCGGGAATCGAAGCAAAAACTGCTCCGAATTTACCTGTTAAAAAAAATATGTATTGTCGTTAAAAGACACGTTTTTATTCGATTAAACGACGTTTAAAATGTGGATTAAAAAGTTTACCGAGGACGGAAAAGAAAAGCATGAATACGGCAGATATCTGGACTACCCGTCGACTGCCGACTCGAGTCAGTCCTATTAGGCCAACATTCTCACTGCAACGAGAGAGAAGTAAAATGATTTAAATAAATATATATATATTACTATAACAAATAATAAAGCCGATTTTTTAAAGTCTTACATAGATACGGACGATCCGTTTGCAGTTCCAAATAATCCCGACAGCAAGATAGCAACACCCTAAAAATAATTTATATTACAACTGTCATATTATTATTACAAGCAATGATTTGGTATCCTAGTTTTCTGCTAAAAATAAGCAAGGGAGCGGGCCCCGTTTATTACCTGCCAGCCTACACCACGGCTGAGAATCGACGGTGGTAAGGGGGTTGCACTAGCGTATCTCGAAAGACCAATCAATCCACCAGTAGACTACAATTATTACAATAATTAAAAAAAAAAAAAAAGGTAAATAATCGGAAAAATAAAATTAAATTAAATTAAATTAAAAAAAACCGTAAAAAATGCTACTAGTTAATTAGTGCGGTTGGAATTAACGAACCTCTACAAGAGCAACAAATGCAGCCATCATCATAGCAAAAGCTTCACCTGCATCGAAAGAAGGCGCTCCCCATTGAAATGGATACGGTACGCTTATCCTGTAAAAAAAATCCCGTAAAACTCGAGTATATCTCAAATTGCTAAAAAATGGATTTAAATTTAAATTAAAAAAATAAAAAATAAAAAATTTCTAGGAATATATAAATATACCAAGGAGCGGCGTCGATTAGTCCGGAGCGATCGGTTCTGCAGCTGGCTTGAGTCCGGGGCGATTTTCCGTTGTAGGCCCCACCCACAGTGAGTATATGAGCATAAATCCACACTAAAACCACGGTTATTAAAACGGCAAACCGGTCGAAGATGTGCTTTCCCGGCCGTATTAGGTGTGGCAAATACTGCAATTAAAAAATTAAAAATGTATATACAATTTTACCGGAGCATTTTTATATTGAAAATATTAATAAAAATAAAATAAAATGAAGTGTTACCTGAGAGACGACAACCAAGAGGATGAGCTCCGGCAACCCAATTTCAACGCATTTGGCAACCTAAAAAAACAAGAGAGATATTAAAAATTCAATCTTTTTTTCTTTTTCTTTGATAAAATTAAAATTAGTTGTCGAGAATATTTTCTTATCACATACCCCGGGAAAAGCGAATTCGTAGAGCCCGAAACCAGCTAGAGCAACCAAAGGAACAACTGAAATCGGACTCAGAAACCTATATATAATTGGTAAAAAATAAAATAAAATAGTACATTAGTAATAACCGAAACATCGTACGTAAAAAAATGTATTAAGTTACGAAATCGAGATAAGTAACCTTGCAATGTTACGCCAAAGGCCACTGAAACCTAGTACTATTTGAATGGTCGATGCGACGATAAGCGCGCCTTGAGTGGCCCGCATTATCTTCTTGAACCTCTGCATGGCGATGATATAAAAAATACATATTAACAACAATCAGCAGAAATAACAATTAAAAATAAAAAATAAAAAAATAAAAAAATTAATGACTAACCGAGATAGGATCGGGATCGTCCCATCGACCAGAGAGTATAATGGAAATAGTGGGGGCCACATAGGTGTACGAAGCTCCAATCACGACGGGTAATCTTGTTCCGAACCATGTCTGCAAAAGTGTGTTCAATCCAGCTACAAATAGTAATGTTTGAATTACTTTTGCTTTCTCCTCCTGAATTTAAATTAAAAAAAAAAAAAAAAAACGAGTGATTTAGGATAACGAGATTTAGGGTATTGAAATGCAATCCGATTGGTATATAATTAATTAATTAATTAATGGCTTACATTTCCTCCTCCCATTTGAGGAACAAGTGCTGTGGGTATGATGACTATAGTTCCGAGCATTACTAAATAATGCTGAAATCCAAGCAGGATAGCCTCGGCTGCAAAATCGAAAAATTGTGAACAATTTTTTTTAAATCGAAATATTCCTTTTCGTATCTCGTTTGTTCGTGCATTTGGAGGAATTAAAAAGGCGTAATTCGATAGCGTCAAAAAATAAATCAAGAAAACAATAAACGCACTAACCAGTTATCAAAGTAGACGTAATTAATTAATTAGTTATGGGATTATATTACCAACCAAACGAGACCTCAAATGTAACACTAAATCTAAACTACGGATAAATTGACAAAAATAATGGAATAACGCCACAACAGAGAAAGAACAAAAGATGCCATTCATGAAAGTGTATTGAAGTTCAATTTACATAATAAACGATTTTAAACATCCAGCGAGGGCTGGTAGGGCAGGTGCCTTCCTTTAACTCCATAAAATTTGAACTTTGAAATAAATAATATCGATAATCTTAATTAGTTTATAACCTTACTTGCTAAAAAAACGAAAAAAACACGAAAACAGAGTATCAATGATTGAAAAAGCCCAGCAAACTAGCAAAAATGGAACAAAAGAAATAATTTTTTTTAAGTCGATGCCGAAAATACCGCAAAAGATTCCATCTATGAAGCATAACTATATAGTGAATTCAGGGCCAGCCCCTTCCTCAACTACATACACTAAATTTAAAATGAAGACTGTATTTTTATCCAGTTTCATATTTTGCCAGCTTAAACGTTTACACAAAAAAAAAAAAGAAAAAAAAAAGATATTACAAGAATCTGAACACACTAGCAGCAAGTTGACCAGTCAAACATATATATATATATATATATATATATATGTGCAGTTATACACATACATAAATCATTTAATGCAAAATTTGATGATGAACATAGCTAGAGAAATCCACTTTGTACTAGAATTAAAAAAAAAAAAAACACAAAAACTATAATAAAAAATAAAATAAATAAATTAAAAAAAAAAGTAAAAAATTAGGTTAGAATTTACTGACGCCATGGAGGAGGGCTGGTAATGCAGTAATAAACATTGGGAAGCTGATCTTTAGGCTGATGTGGCGCTGGTTCATCTGCCTTTGCTGCCATTTTCTTGATTCCTTTTCTTTTTTTTTTTTGCCTTAAAATTTCTGCAGACAAAAAAAGATGGTGAAGAAAAATAAAAATTGAAACTTTATCACAGAAAAAAGCATCACATGTAAGTAAGTATGAAAACCCACCAACCTTTTTTTTCCTGCTACAGTAAAAAGAAGAAAACAATATCAATTTATAGAAAGAAAACTGAAACTATATAAACAAAAGCAGAAGCCCAGAAAATAAGTTAAATGAAACAGCTTCTTCTTTGAAGAGAAGAAGCATAATAATGTCAATGAATCGAAGAGTCCCCACTTCAAGAAAAAGTTTCTGCAGAAAAGGGAGAGAGAGAGTAGAGAGAGAGAGGGAAAGCAAAAAGGAGAGAACTCTTTATAGAAGGTAAAATATGCTTTGTTCTTGCACAAAGGCAAGGAAAAAACAAGTCTTGATTAAGATAAAAAACAAGTCTTGAAAGTAAAATGTGAAGATATAATTCGGATAAAAAAAACACTGGGCCCAGTTATATACTGGAATCCCTTTTCCTCTCTTTTAACCTTTTTTTTTTTGGTAAATTACGGTCACACCCTGAGGTAATCCTAATTTATGGATAATTACAATCACACCCCTCAATTATGAATCTTCTTACTCACTCACTCTTATGGTGCCATATTCAATGAAATCTTCTAGATTTTGTGGAATGTTCACTAGTTTATACTCATTTTGAGCAAAAATGCAGTTTTTGATGCTCCACAATCTGATATTTACAAGCTAAGAGATGAATCTTATGATTATTTTGTTTGAAAAATGTGGAGCTCGAATGGGGTAAACATATACAGACTGAAGAATATTCCACATAATCAAGAAGATTTCATTAAATTTGACACCGCGAGTGTGAATGTGTAAGCGGATTCATAGTTTATGAGGGTAGTTGTAATTACCCAAATATTAGGGGTTTTTTGTAATTTGATGTTACTTCAGGGAGTTGGCCGTAATTTACCTTTCTTTAGAAATTCCCATTCTCTCTCTTCACTTTTTTTGTGAAAAACAAATAATTGAAAAATGAGACGATATAATGAAGAGAATCTTTAATAAGATAGGTGGTACAATTGAATGCTTCATTTAATATTTTATTTCTCTATATATGTTCCCTTTATGAAATTAATCACCAACACATGCGCTCTTGATTAGGTAAAATAAGTAGTAGTAAATACTACTAATCAAATAAACAAATACCAATAATTTTTTTGTAATATATCTTTTTTTATAGAGAAGTTGCGTAAAAAAACAAGACGTTCGGGTTGTGTTCAAGAACTGTATGGAATTTAGAAAGAGAGTCGTTAATATTTTAATAAGTTCTATTAATGTACACCGTAAATCTGAACTAATGAAATATTGTTTCTAGGTCCTCGCGGATACAAAAGTTGCAACATACTACACAAGAATTATAATTGCAATATACTATTGTCCCAATAAATAAACTGTTACAATTATTTTTCTTTAGTTTCAAATAAAAGTGTTAATTATAATTTCACGCCTACTCCAACGACAATTATTTACAATGTTTAAATTTATACGAGGAGAAATTCAGGAGAAAAATTGTCGAACCTTGGAGGAATCTCGGAGATTCCTCCAGCCTCAAGATTTTATAAACAAAAACACATATATTCAATAATTTTGAATCAATTAAGTTTCTCATAATTACAAATATATTTCTATAATTATACACAAATGTGTATATTTTTGTGTGCATCTGAGTAATTACGATATAGCATATACAATTAAATTTCTATAAATTAATACAACTGAAATTAGCAAATATCTATTAATTTAGTGAAATATTAAATTATCGAACTAATAACTAATACGTTTTCATTGAGTCAGGACCGAAAAAATTATTATTTAAGCAAAGTCATTAATTTAAGAAGCACTAATTTATCGAGGATCTACTACATGTACGTGCACCTCACCAGATATATTATGAATGTAAATCGACCTCATTCTAGCTCCAATTTATTCTAGGAAAATGAGTGAATTATCACTTCTTTGTTTAATTAATAATTAATAGAATCTTGAGCAACAATTATAATTAGTTGGAAAATAAAAATATAGGTTTGACAAATTGATTGATAATGAAATAAAATTGTAGGTTACATTGAGAAGGGAATATTGGGATGCCAAAAAGGTAAAAAGTGAAAGTTGGGGGACTAAACTTTGGAATACCAAACAAAAGGCACCGACCGACACATTATTATTTATCCCTCTCACTATTCAGCTACAGCTTGCAGCATAGGCCTTTGTGAAAAAATTGTTTCAACCAAAAAAATTAAAATTGTACTATATAGTATTAATCACCATTTCTAGGTCAATAAATATCAAATTTAACATTTAATATAATACATTTGCAAAAAAAATATATTAAAATTAAAATTATATTATATTCATACATTTAATATAATACATTTGCAAAAAAATTAAAATTGTACTATAGGACTTTTTAATATAATACATTTGCAAAAAAAATTAATACAATTTGGTTTCATACGATAATTTCGCGATAAATTTAGCACGAAATATTTTTTTTAATATTTAATAAATTATTTTGATGACCAATTAATTACGAACGTATATAATCTCCCTTCGTCCCTTATTAAGTGTTTATGCATAAATATTTATTTTTCTCCAATTTCAGGAAAAGATTAGTTAAGATAAAATTAAATAATTTTATGAAAATTAAATTTTATTACTATACATAATACAAGTACCCAATTAATTGTTTAAATAATTACAGTTAATATTAGAAACAAAGCTTGAATATTGACAAAATGCATAAATAGTGTTTGTCTATCAGAAGTCTGGGGTTGTTTTTCTATTTTTGTAATTTGGTACATATTGTACAGCAAGTTTGCAGGTACTAAAATGACAGATGCATGCATGCAATATTTGGCACTGAAATTTTGATTGTTTTTTTCTTACTCGTTGATTAATGGTCTTTGACTTGTTTAGCACCGAATTTTCAATTTCTTAACGTAGTCGTGTTTCGAACATGCTTTGTAACCAATACTCAAGGACACCTGCCAGACACCTTATAAGGGGTTATTTTGCAATTTTTGAAAAATAAAAAACGTATTTGAATAGTGAATTTTCAAATATTTTTTACTATTTCCCTTATTATTTACATGATTTAATGATTAATAAGAAAATAATAAATGATAATAATATTTATTTTGAATATACTTGTATGGTCATAAAATCTGATACAAGTTTATATGGCATATTTATAAATATACTTCTATACTTTTGATATTTACATGTTGTCCCAGCAAGTTCCCGTATCCTCATTTTGGGAACTTCCGTTTTTCCATGTCTGTTTTCTCGTATCGTCGTTTTTGTGTCTGTGCTACGTAGATATCGAGTGATTTTTTTTCTCTTTTCATTTTTCGCCGAACACTAAAATGGAGCATGAGGGATATTTATAATTGGTTGATAGAATGTTTGTAAGATAATAATAATTCCATACCAAATGACAACAATTCACACAATTAAATGTGTGAGTTGTTTGATGGATTTGATGAATTCACACATTTCCCCAACATCACTTTTCATTATCTTCATGCTTGATTCTAGGATTTAATCATAAAAATACAAAATAAAAATAAATAAATAAAAAAAGAAAACGTGTTTTCAAAGCTATCAACTACTATTGACTGATTTTCATAATCGCATTTTGCTTGCATGAGCAAACACCTGAAAAACAGGAGGCGGCTCAGGAAATAATCATGACTTATTAATAAATAAATAAATAAATAAAAATAAAATACATAAAATATTAATAATTATATAGGGTAAATTACAAACACCCCCTGAGGTATGGTCAAATTACAAAAATCCCCTCTTGTTTGGATAATTACATCTACCCCCTCAACTATGATTTTTTCTTAGGCCTCCACCTCTATGGTGCCAAATTCAACATAGTCATCTAGATTCCGTGAAATGTGATCTAGTTTGTACTCTTTTTGTGTAAAAAATACAGTTTCCGATGCACCACAAACTGATATATACAAGCTAAAAATCACATATTATGATCATCTTGCTTCATAATGTAGAGTTTGAATGGGATAAAACGGGTACAAAAGTGATAATATTCTATATAATCTCGAAGATTCCACTAAATTTGATGAGTTGAGGGGGGTGGTTGTAATTATTCAAACAAGAGGGGTGTTTTTGTAATTTGACCATACCTCGGGGGGTGTTTGTAATTTACCCTAATTATATATTATCCAAATGAATTTATGGTATAGGAAAGTTCATCATAATACAAGTCGGTCAAGCTCAAATCTATGTGACACTCAATAAAGTGGCAGTAATAAAAATGGTAATATATAATTCACCAATTACAGCATTAAATAAATCATATTCGACTGAGTTTGTAGATTGTGAAAAATATAGTTTTCGTTACTCAATTTGCATCGATTTCACATTTGGTCACTTCAGTTTATAAAAAAACTCATTTGGTCCCTTATGTTTCTGTAGCAACAAAATCTTATCTGCGATTTAGACAAACAAGAAAAACTTGCACAAATATAAATTTATTGAATTAAAATAAAATATTGCGGGTTACAAACTCTAATTTAATCCTGTGATTCTTCTCTCAAGAATAATATTTGTTTGACTTTGAATTTCGGAGTCGGGTCGTTGACTTGATCTTCTCCGGATTTGATTTGGATTTGAATAACGTCTTCCAAGGGTCTTGCGACTTGAATCTCGGATCGAACGCTGAACTTTGACGGATTTTAACTTGAAGATCTTGGAGTTCTTGATGGATTTGGCCCTTCAATCTTCCTTTGATCTTGATTTGTTGAAGAACGCCCTCGATTTGATGAAGAACGCCTTGAATTTGATGAAGAACGACTTGAATATTGTACAGAGAATTTTCTCCTACGGTTTTTCTTCTTCTTGAGTTGTGTTTTGAATTGTGTAGGGAGGGTCCCTATTTATAGTGGTAGAATAAGAGTCCTACTTAAAGTCTACTTGATGACGTGGCGCGATTTGATAGACTCTATTTAAATTGATATTTATCTCTTATAACTTGGAAGAGAAGAAACAATCCTATTGGTCAATAATTAATTGATAATTATCTCCATGACTTATTTTGCAAGATAAATTATAATCTTGGGATTCAATTTAATATAATATACATTATATTAAATTTACGTGTCTACAGTTTCAAAAATTCAACATTTTTATCATTTTCGTCAATTTTCTGTTAGTACTAAAGGAATCAAGCATTAACAGACGGACGAATGGTAAATTAACAGAAATGACCCAAAAGTGTTAAATTATCGAAACACAAGGGATCAAATGTGTTTTCTCTGAACTTCAAGGACCAAATATGAGATTCGTGTAAACTTATGGAATTATATAACAAACATTCACATACATACGCATATTCACAATTTCACATGGTAGTTGCTTTCATTTTATTATTCTCTACACAAAAAGGGCATGATTTCCCAACTCACAAATTCCTTACCTTTTTTTGCCTTGTTTTTATATAGCATAAGAATCAATAAGTATATCTTCTTCTTTTTTTCCTCACTTTCCACAAAGCTTTCACACACACACACACACACACACACAATGTCTATGCCTAGCAAAACTTGATTTGTCGCGTTTTCTTACCAACATTATTATATAATGTTAAAAGAATCCCCCTTTAATTTAAACGTACTAAAATTGGATTAATTTACATAAATGATTTTCCTCCATCTTTAAAATCGGGGATGGAAATTGGAATGGAAGTTTCCGGAGCCGACTTCAATCCGGAACCTTCCTGTTTTAGTATAATATTTTTCATTTCAAATTCTAGAAATTCTGAAATTCAATTATTTTCTAAAACAAAACCGAAATACATATTAAATTTTCAGTTTTGATCCAATGCCATACATATTAAACCAACGAGCATAATTAATTTAACTTGTCTTTTTAAACAACAAGAAACAAGTATGTTCTTCTTCCGTGTTTTTTGTTTAGTGTCTCGCAATGCGACACTTTGAAATGAACTTCTCTTCCGGAATGATATTCCGAATTAAAAGAATTATCCGTATCATGTTAGAGACAAGACTTGGTATAAATATATATTATGTAAAATTGAATTTCGTGTTTACGTCGTCGTAACTTATGCACAACATCATTTATGAGTGTGTGTTTACTTATCGAATAATGAGTTTGATCCGGCTGGATTCGTGATGGGTTGTTTTAAAGAAATGGGCTGGCCTGATCTTGGGCCTGAATCCGTGAATGAACCTATAAAAAAAAGAAGATCCAAACTTAGGCTGGAGTTAGCATTTGGACGGCCAAGTCAGTAACTTTTTCAGGAAAATTATATTTGAATATATGGTTTTTTGTAGAAGATTTGTACCCGGCGATGCTTTTATTTAATGCCCTTATTTATACTAAAAAGGGGACGGACGTCAAATACTTCTCTAATTTAATTTACCTGTCTAATCGCTGTAATAAGATATCCTGGACTCCAAATTACCTTCAATACAATTTAATCCGTTATTTCATTGGCGGTTGCGTCTGCAAAAAGTAGGGGACACGGGCGACATTCCTCTACGTCTGCCAGTAGATTAAACATGCATTAAGTACCCCACGTGTAGTTAGCACCGACTCGGCGGGCTAGTCGAGCGAGAGGCCTGGCGAGAGAGAGCTTTTCACTCTCTCTCTCTCTCTCTCTCTCTCTCTCTCTCTCTCTCTCTCTCTCTCTCTCTCTCTCTCTCTCCTGACAAGGTGTCAGCTTAATGGACCTTCCTTTCTTGATGGGCTTAACGAGGCCTTCTGACCCTAATTTGGCCTTTGGGCTTTGCTAGACCTGTCGGACGGTAATGGGCTAGATCAGAGTTCAACACCTGCGGCGAGTTTTGTTTTTAGCAGACCAGCACCTTCTCTAGCTATTGCCATCCGATCGCTATCCACGATGTCTGTTTCTTCACCTTGTTTAGTCCTTACATTCTCATACTTGCGAAAAACGTTTTGGTTTAATTCGACTAAAATCAATTAATACACGTACCTATCTGTCAGCCCAAACTAAGCTGGCTCGGTTACATATATGATTTTCCTCCATCTCTAGGAGTTCGGGACGAAAATGATTTCGAATTTTGAAATTTCCGAAATTCGTTTATTTTTTAAAAGCAAAACTGAAATACATATTGAATTTAAATTTTGGATCCGATTTTAATATTTCTATTTTCAGATTAGTGCTACTATAAGATATCAATTTACGAAACAAAAGCTCATTTAATATAATAAATGATCGGATACTCAAAATCCAAACAAAATTGATTATAATTTGATTTTTTTTTTTTGTAAAACCGATTTCCGAACCCTAGTGATTAAAAAACAGATTTTAAACCGATCAAGCACTCGTACAGTTTTGCTTATAGTAGCGAAAACAACCAATATTATTTTTTATTTTTTCTGTTATGTATACAATAGGACACTCTAATTCTCGTGTAGTTTATTCTACATTATGATAGGTAAAAAAATGCACAATGAATCTTTACCATTTGTTCAAAAATAAAGTACGATTATTGCCGATGAACGGTATATAATAGGTGTACACTTCACCGATTGTAGGTCAAGCGTACACCACGTAGGTCTTTATGTGCCATCTATTGATCTACGTACATTAATGTAAATGTGCACTTTTATGTTTGAATGAAGAGTAAAAATTCATTCAACTTATTTCACGGATTAGTATGAAATAATTTACAATTAAATTGCCCATTAAACACTATATCAATATTTTGCATAACGTAGCCTAGATTATAGATATATAAATTGTATTAGTGTACACATATTACATACATCATATATATCATACTTTTATACAGATAGATTTTTCTTATTTTTCAACATATTATACCTTTTTTTTTTTAATGAAGGAATCCGCACTGTATGATACAATGATTGGTGGTAATATGTGTTTTGACCCAAAATGTTCAGCTAGATCTTTTGAAACTTGTAGAGATGCCTCTCCATTTTAGATATTATGTAAAATTTTATGAATTATCCTAGAGAACAACTCTTAATATAGTATTAAGTTGATCATGACCTTCCATTAAAAAGGTGGCTTAGTATAAATAACAATAAACTTCATTTGTTAACCATCAGTCAATCAAGCATGTCCGAATCGTCACAAAAGTATTGGAACACGTTCTACTTCGATGACATTGATTCTAATGCTCAATTTTAATTTGATAAGAAGGGTTGTTTCCAATTTTACATAGTTGATGGGTGATGATAGGTGAAATTTGTCTTAAATAATGTACTGTGATTGTCCTCTATGGCAATGGAATTAATAGAGTTAGGCGTGGAATTTGACAGTTGACTTACTTATATGCTGATGGAGTTTATACTAATATTAGATATAGGTGGAACTTAGTACAAAATGTATTAGCTTAAATATCATCAACGACTTATAGGAACACAATCTCGATGACATTATCATCGAGAATTACGGAAGAAAACTCTTACAGACAAAGCTAAGGTTGGCGCACCAAAATTTTAGTTTGGTTTTATCGAAACATCCCTAAATTTACCTATGGAGGGGTCTTTTCGTAAGATAATATATAATTGTGGGGTTGCTACAATTACCCAATCAATAGGGGGTTTTGTAATTTGACCATAACTCATGGGTGGCCGTAATTTATAAATTATATTATATTTAAGTGTAAATTACAACCAACCCCCTGAGGTATGGTAATTTACGAAAAAATCCCTCTTGTATGTATAATTACATCTACCCCTTAACTGTGATTTTTTCATACACCTCCACCCTTATGGTGTCAAATTCAAAATAATCATCTATATTTCGTGAAATTTCTCTAGTTTGTACTCATTTTGTGTAAAAATACAATTTCTGATGCACCACAATCTAATATATACAAGCCAAAAAACACATATTATGATCATCTTGTTTCAAAATGTGGAGTTCAAATGGGATAAAACGGGTACAAAAGTGATAATATTTCACTAAATTTGAAAGCAATTTATAGTTGAGGGTGGTTATAACTACCCAAACAAGAGGGGGGTTTCGTAATTTAACCATACCTCCAGGGGTGGTTGTAATTTAGCCTATGTTTAAATTATATTTTTTCAGTTTTTTCGTTCGATTCGAAAACTCAACTCAACTCACCTTCAATAAATAATCTGTATTGGATTCACCAAACAAATGTCCAATTAATTATTTAAGTGATTAAAGTTAATATTACAAACAAAGCTTAAATGACAAGTGCACAAATAGTGTTTGTCTATGAGAAGTCTGGCATTGTTTTCTATTTTTGTAAAATCTGGTACATATTGTACAACAAGTTTGCAGTTACTAAAATGACAGATGCATGCCTGCAACACTTGGCACTGAAATTTCTATTGTTTTTTGTTACTAGTTCAATGGTCTTCGACTCCTTTTTATAACATGTATCCGACACTAATTGAGGACACCTACCGGATACCTTATAGGCTATTTTGTAACTTCTGAAAAGTTATAACCGTGTTTGAATAGCGAATTTCCAAATATTTTTGTTGCTTCTGAAATTATTTACATAATTTAATGATCAATTACAGATTAATAGTTAACAATAATATTTATTTTGAATATATTTGTACAGTCATACATATAAAATAGGGTAAATTACACCCACACCCCTGAGGTATACTTAAATAACTTTAAGGTCCCTGTGGTATCCATAATTACGATCACCCCTTGAAACGTAGTTATAAACTCTAATGGTATAATGCATTGGATACGTTATTACGATAGAGTTCTAACGGACTATTGGTTTCAGGAAGTGGTGAAGAAAACAAAGAGTTATGAGTGATTTAAGAAATATTGGGAGAGCCATGTCACCCCATAACTCCCCATAGCTCTATGTTATCTCCATAACTAGCTAAAAGTAATAGTCCACATTAGAACCCTATCGGAATAATGTATCCAATGTATTATCGCGTTAGAGTTTTTAACTACCTTTCAGGGGGGTGAGTGTAATTATCGATACCACAGGGACCTTACAATTATTAAAGCATACCTCAGGGGTGTGGGTGTAATTTACCCTATAAAATAAAATAAAAAAGTCTCCAATTCACAATGAAAGGGCGTTTTGTTTCCTGGAGTTGTATATATGTCAGAATGCTAAATAGAACTAGATTATATACAAATGATTTCTATGTCATATGTTTAAAAGTTAATACCGTTAATTTTGGTGTGCAATTACATTTATGCCCAAAACACATTTATAGCAGCCGATTCGAAGCCGTGTCCGGGTATATGAAATTATCAACAATGATATTAATATAGTAAGAACTTGAACCATGTCCTAAAATAAATATGTTGCCAGAAAATAGTTGTATATATATATATCATTGATTAATAATCAGTTCAACACCTGCAGAAAGTTTTGATTTCAGCATAAGAACACCTTCTGTAGCCATTGCCATCTGAGTGTGATTACCCGCTCTAGCAATTCCGATCTCAAGCTTACCCATAACATCCGGTTTTTGTCGACGAAAATCGATAATTATTCTCTTAAGTGAAGGAGCGTTCTCGATCACATATAAAGCCAGCTCAGCATCAATATCAGCCCCTGCGAAACCTTGTATCTCAAGCACTTCAAGACACTGATGTCTAATATGTCCTTTAGCAGGAACATATATCCTTCTCTTGATCAATGTTTCCGACCAATTTAGCTGTCACACACACAAAAATAAAATAAAAAAATGAGACGAATCGTAGAAACAAAACTAATGTAAAGATGATACGACGAGAAAAGGACTCACCTTCAGTACAAGTTCACGTAACAAAGGTGCAGCATTCAGTAGAGAAGTAAAACATAATAGACTTCCGTTTCCTTTGGTGCTGACATCAAGCACTAATTTCTTGAGCCTATGTAAATCGGGAATTCTTGGCAATACATATTCCTGGAAACAAATTAAGCCAAACATTATCTACAATATTTTTGTATTTTAAAGGAAGGAAACGAAAAAAAGATGCGTCGAATACTAACATTATATATAGACGTGCGAATCTTTAGAGTCTCCAACCGAGACAGAGATCCCGAGATTTGGTTTATATTATCCATTACTATAGTGGGCCTCGCTGCCCCAACGGATAAACTAATAAGAGACGAAACATTCTTCAAGTTAATGGAAACTCGAAGAATCCCATAGAATGCGAAAGAAAGCAGATTCGGTGTGCAAATCTCGACGCTTTTACAAGTTCCTCTGCTGGCTATTTCGAAACGCTTCAGCCGAACCAATGGGGAACTAGCTGCGAATTTTTTCAAGTAGTTTGAATATCTCACGCGCAGTTCCTCAAGTAACGGACAGTTGGATACGAAAAACTCGAGAGTCTCTTCAGTCACATCTACGTCAATCAGACAGAGTGCTACGAGCGATTCGCAGCCCGACGGTAAAATACGCAACCGCTCGATGGTGTCGCACATGTTTGGAAAACTATATTGCTTGTCCAAACGACCAATATAACTTTCGGCCAAATTTAACTCTAGCCTTTTAACCCTCTTGGCAAAAGCAAATTGTAACCATTTACCAATGTCGTCGGCATTGCTTTGATCCAAGTCGAACGCGATTCTAAACTGCTCTATAGTCGGAAGGGAATGCAGGTCAAGTACCTTGTTCACCGTTGTCGCAAATTTTCTCCTTTCGTCTCTAAGCCATATCGGCTCATCCGATTCGAAAAGCACTTTTGAACCATCAAAGTCGAGAATCGAACTACACTTCCAAAAGTATCTCCATCTACGAGCAATAACGCTAGTCTTTATTGCCTCTTTCACCGGTAGGTGTGAAACGATTGAAATTAGCAGTTCGTCCGGCAGGCGGTTGATGGAGTCTTGTGTACACTGTATCAAATCAATCAATAAAAGAAACAACAAAAGTTAATTGACGGAGAAAAGAAATCAGCTTTCAGAAATTTATTTCCATCAATTGTATCTACAGGTAGTAAAAATAAATATTTGGGGAAATAATCGAACCAAAACTAACAACCCAAGACATAACCAAAGCAGCTCAAAAGATTCGATTTTTTTTATCAATTATCGTAAGAAATTGATTTTGCGGAAGGGGATGAAGAAAGCGAAACAATAAAAAAAAATACACAGAAAAAAAAAATACCTTGCTATTCACCCAATTGCGATTAAATACTGAGAAATCATGAGATTTTGGGAACATCGCGATTGATGTGTGGAGCAGAAGTTAAAATTAGGTCAAAATTGCTCGTTATTTTATCTTCGTGACAGGATGAAGACAGGGTGGGGTGGGTTCTTATGTAGTGGGAATTTTCTGATAATTAAATTTGGGGTTAAATAATCATCTTTATTATTACACAGGTTCATGGGCTATATTTCTTTCACCGATAAGCCCATTCCTTTAATATTTATTATAAATAAAAGGAAATATTCATGTATATGTTAATATTACCTCCAACTCTTTATACTCAATTTTTAATTGTTCCCTTAATTTAATCAATTTTGTCCACAAAAATTCAATTTTGACTTTTCTTTTTCAAAAACTTTTTTTGCCGCCGGATTCCGGCATTGACTGGCCGTCAACACCGCGATTTTTTTTTTCTTTCGGATTTTTTCGCCGGTTTCCGGCGATGACCGCGGTCTCCGGCGTTGATTTTTTTTAGTGTTCTTCTCTTCTTTTTCCTTTTTTTTTACGTCCGCCGCTAAACGTTGACCGTAATTGTGCTGTCACTGACAGTAAATTAACGTCATTATACTGTCAATGATAGTTAATTAACGTAATTGTACTGCCGTTGAATTGTTCTGCCGTTGACAGTCAATTAACGTAATATTATTATTTTTTTTTCGTTATTTTTTTTTTTTTTTTGTTGACAAGTCAACGTAATTATATTACTGTCATTGATAGTAAAATAACGGTAAACACAATAATATTACTGTCAACAACATCAATATTATTATTTTTTTAGGTTTTTTGTTTTGTTTGAGTTATTCACGGAGTAACGTAATAATATTACTGTCTATTATTGTAATGTTACTGTAAACACAATAATATTACTGTGGTTGACGGTAATATTACTTTTGTTATAGTAATATTGATGCCAACCACATCAATATTATTATTTTGTTTGGATTTTTTGTTTGTTTGAGTTATTGACGGAGTAACGTAATAATATTAATGTCCATTATTGTAATATTACAGTGGTTGATGGTAATATTACTGTTGTTTAGTAATATTACTGTCACTCACATTAATATTAATTCTTTTGGCTTTTTATTATGTTTACATTTGTTGAACAGTCAACATAGTAATATTATTATTCTATTACACAATAATAATGAGTTTTGTTGTGTTAATATTACTATGCTAGAGATTAATACAGCAATAATACTGTGTTAAACTGTAGTTTAGTTAATTTTACTGTGTTTAACAGTAATATAGTTAGGGCTCGTTCGGTTACCTATATTGGATTAGATTGGATTACATGAGATTGGATTAACTTCCTACTGACTAATTAATTATTTAGTTAGTAGCATGTTCGGTTTCTTAGATTAGATTTTCTATTAAATTTGTTAAAATCGGTTATTATATATGAATTGTCTATAAAACCACTTAGTTTACAATAATAAAATATGAATTTAAGGATAAAATTGTCTTTTTCCTTTTTAGTCACCCCTATTAAATTAATCTCAGGGGGAGGGGTGCTACTAATTTAAAGAAATATTAGCATTTAATAGCGGGCTTTGATTTTAGTAGCGGGTTTGAAAAAGTGTGAATCTTACCAACCGGACATGCTATTAGCCCCTACTATTTAGTCAGTAGAACCTTATAGCGGTAACCGAACGAGCCCTTAATATTACTGTCAATGACAACAATATTGTTGTTTAAACGGAAAAAAAAAATCGAAAAAGTCAACGCCGGAAACCAGCGAAATAATCCGGAAGAGGACATAAAAAATTGAAAAGTCAACGCGGTCAACACCGGAATCTGGCGGGAAAAAAAAAGTTTTTCTGAAAAGAAAAAAATTAGGTCAAAATTGTGAAATTTTGGGTCAAATTGAGGTTAAATAAAGTTAAGGGTGAAATTGGAGCATATTAAAGTATGAGGGGTTATTTTAGTTATTTATAAAAATTTGAACCATGTGTGAACTTATTGGTAAAGGGCTTTTTATCTGGATCTCTTTATGAATAAGTATCCATTGTTGGGCTTATTTGTAATGACCCCTAAGAAAAAGGGTTTACTAATAAATTTGTATAATTAAATTTGTATAAACATTGATGTTGTTACCGATATTACTAGTAAATTTTACTATAGATGTTAATGTTATTATCATATACTAGTATTTCACCCGTGCGTTGCACAGATATGAGTTTCAAAATGAGAAAAATAATAACATTTAAACGATTATCTTTTTATAACAACACCAATTCAAGTAAAACAAAATGGAGGAAATAAAACTTATCTCTTAATTCAGAGTTGTAACATATGAAATTCAATTAAATATTACAAAGAAAAATACGCGAATGGAGCAAAGCACGATATGAAATTTAAGTGAAATAATTTAAAACATATGGTATAATTCTATTTCATGGAATGCAATCTACTACACCATGTGAATCCTCTACAAAATAACTAACTTAACAACAAACACAGTAGCATGGAGGTAAACAATAGATATTCAAATAACCTGCAAGTTTATCACTAACAACATTCAATTAGTGATGCACATTAATCAAACAACAACACAACTTATAAATATTGCAAAAGAGATAAGATGTATACGCCAATACCAATAATAATACCAATACTGATATCAATATTGATACCAATAATGATACTAATAATGATACTAATATTAATTCTAATACTAATACTAATACTAATATTAATACTATTAATATTAATACTAATACTAATAATAATACTAATAATAAAACTAATATTGATAGTAATAATAATAGTAATACTGATATTAATATTGATACTAATACTAATGCTGAAACTCGTACTACGGGTACTCATACTGATACTAATTCTAATACTAGTACGAATACTAATACTAATACTAATACTAATACTAATACTAATACTAATACTAATACTAATACTAATACTAATACTAATACTAATACTAATACTAATACTAATACTAATACTAATACTAATACTAATACTAATACTAATACTAATACTAATACTAATACTAATACTAATACTAATACTGATACTAATATTGATACTGATATTGATATTGATACTGATACTGATACTAATACTAATACTAATACTAATATGTTAATGTTGTTAATGTTAATGCTAATGTACATATTCTAATGCTAATACTAATTTTAATGTTAATGTTAATCAGGATATGTCGTGCTCATGATAATTGTAATACTAATATTACAATGCGATTAAAATTGCCAAATGTCAAGCAATTAGGTGTGGAATTCAACTTTTATATATTATATAGATTTTACTAGAGATGTTAATGTTATTATCATATATTAAATTAATTATTATTTACACTTTTGAAATGCTATCCCGATTCATCACGTACATCACACACGGGGAAAATGCTAATTTAATTTTCATACTAAAACCAAGACCAGTGCTCTAGTGAAACTTTGACCCAATAGTGTTAGGCCCATCTCACATATTTACCAAATGTTAGGCCCATCTTTTTTTTTTTTTTTTTTTATAAAAATGTTATATATAATTCATCTTATATATAATTGCTTAATCAAATTCAAAACCCCAGTTCTCTCTCATCATCCCCTTCGCCAAGCTGATCTCTGTTGGTTGATCTCTTTTCCTTGTCAAAATTCTCTTCTCATTTCTTGTTAATTCACACTGTGCTTATTCTCCGATCCAGCAGGTATATATATATATATATGTATATGTTTATTTGCTTCGGTAAACGATTTTTTCATTCACAATAATTGGGGTTTTGTGATTTTCCATTTCGCTTTTCATTTGTAGTTCTTGATTGTGATGCACTCTGGAGAAATTTTCGGAATCAGAATTCACTTTCGAAACAAAGTCCATTTATTTAAATTGCTATGAAAATTTAAATATTCGAGTTAGAAAATCCCTACGTTTTTTAAATATAATTCAGTACACAAGAATCATGCTTTCCGCATTTTGTTCTTCGGATTGATTTCTTGTTGTTTAGTATCATGCTCTTCGTGCTGTAATTTCCAGTAGGGCTTTTATCTCTTCAATTTATCTCCGATTACAAATTCAAAATATTGTATGAATGCATAAGATAGTAAAAATGGTTCACACTGTCAATTTATCTCTGCACAAGATTCCGTGTAGCATTAAATTTTCACGTGGAACGATTTGTATGTGATTTATGTTCTTTTCTTATATAGCCAACTAGAAATACAAGACATGAAAGATACACTAGGCAAGAATTGCAATTGATGTTGGTAGTGGATCAAGTCTCGTCGAATAGAGCCAGGCCAAATGCTTATAATACGATTCTTTTTTTTTTTTTTTTTTTTTCTAATATTTACATTTTTTTCATAATAAATTTGATTAATTGACATGATTTTGTAGTTTATAACTCGTATAAGATATCACTGTAGCTAACTATAGAATGCAGCAGCCTAAATATCGGTTGCAGCCCGGTTTTTACATGAACTGGAAAAAATAGGTTGTTAAATTACATTTTTATTTTAGCAACCACATTTGTGATTTTGTTCCGTAAATTCTTATACTGTAAGAATCAATATTTACATCATCTATGTCTGTTGCTCTCTTTATGTGCAGTGAATTGAGAGATTGTAAAGACTTTATGAGGAAGTAGGCAATTAATCACCTTCTTGAATTTTTTCAGGGATTCGGATTAATGCCATAATTGCCAAAGAACAGAGACGTAAACCGTGTTAGAGTTTTCAGCAAAGTTCATCACCACCTTCCACGCCATAAAAGACAAGTTGCTGGTTACGTTGACTTGAAAGTAATCAACTGTTGACAAGCTCTAATAGAAGTATCATTTTTTGCAAGAATTTTGTGTAGATATGATTCGATTTTTTATGTATAATTTTGGGATTTTTTTTAAATATAAATATATGGCTTCTTTGGTCAGATTTTCGTATCAATTCCTTTTTCGTTTTTTCAGCTTTAAATATTTGTTACATATGAACATGGTGAAATCTCAATATTTGTTATATATATGAACTCAGTCAAATCCCAATTAGAATGTTTGGGCTCTAGCTCAATGACATATCTGCACAGGGTATTCGTGAGGAATCAATCCAGTCGTTATTAGAATAATCTCCATATGCATTAGGATGGCACTTCTTTCCTCACACGGGCGTGGAGCCTCAAAATATACATGTTTCGGATTATATTTGACATTATTAGTTTTGGATTTGAATTTGATTAATTTAAACTTTTCCTTATTGTTTCTAATACATATATGCTTGATTTATAGCAGGCCAAGAAATTCTTAGTGATATTTCTGTTATTTTAAGGGAAGCTCTACTTGTTTCTCGAGTGGTCAAGGTAAGTATTAAGTCCTTGTTGAAGTAAAATTACATCTCATGATATGTTCTCTATACAAGTGTTTTGCTTTTGGTTGACAAACTTATTGCTTATGATTCTTTCCCTGGGTGAATTTTGAGTACAAGATTAGTTATTTTGTTAGGTTGAATTTAAACGGGTGATACTTAATCTATTTCTTAGCTTTTGTTGCTTCATGTAGTCGAAATAGAATCTGACCAGATGCTTATGATACAACTTTAGTTTACTTATTTACAATTTTCTCATAATATCTTTGACTTACTATTTGATGCTGTTTGATACAACTTTTGTTTGCATACTTGCATTTTTATTGTTAACAAATACATTTGTTATGTTGGTCCGTAAATGCTTACATATCCTTGTGGGCTCACTATTTGCATCTTAATTTTTTTTTTTGTTTCTTTCCTTTTGTGACAATAAGTTGATAAAATAAAATAAAATAAAAGGCTGACTTTTTTTCGCTCGTGTGACAGGTAACATTCCACTATGGAACCTGAATGGGAAAAGTTCCTTTTTCTAATGTCCGGTGATGGAGACAATACATCGTCACCACTTTTTCAGTTGATTATGGATCATTTCCCCATACCATTTGTGACGAAGTTGACAGACACTATTCTCCGAGGACCGACATACGAGCTTAAACATCAAGCGATAGGCTTGTTGGTACATGTATTCGACGAGACTCTTACCGAGAATTATCTAAGCGTGGACAGAAGTTACATCGAAGAATTGGAGAATTCGGTGATGTCGATGCTTATGGAAGAAGATTCTTACGTACAAGACAAAGCCAAGGGCCTTGCAAAGACGTTGTTGCTGTTATCGATAAACCACGAAAGAGTGTGGTCCGATTTCATAGACATAGCCGGAAAATCACTAATTGCAGATCAAAGTGATCAACTAAAAAAAAATATCGTGGATATATTTGTTGATCTTGATAGTGATTATCAAGAAGACATTTGTAGGCAACTAGGCCCTATGATTATGAATGTTCATTTCAAGAAGATCGTAGAGATGTTTGATGAATCGGAAGAAGATGTGAGACCCTTCAACATCTTACTCGGCGTGTGCGATTTGGTCTCGGTGGATCAAGTAACTTTGCTCATGGAAGCTGCCACCAAGGCACCACTATTTTGGGGTAAAAAAGTACCTCCTTGGAAAAAAGTGAGTCTATATTACTACTTCACTGTTTTGTGCCCTCAAATATTGTATTCTAGTATCCTAATTCACGATCTTTTTTTCTTTTTTCTTAGCGTTTTGCAGGTTTCGCGATGTGCTTCTGTATAAGGAACACCAATTTGAACTTTTCTACCCAAATGTTGGACAAAATTAAAAACATCGTCTCTCTAATGTTACAGGTAGAAATACAATGTAATTTTAAAATGTCATGTTCACCCATATTATGTAATATACTTACTTTTATTTTCTTTTTTGTTAATTCAGTCAAAAGACAAAGACTTGAGTAACACAGCTGTGGAGTTGTCTGCCTCTCTGTTGCACTCATGCTTCCGGCTGATTTGATGACAACGTAGTGTAGGTAAAGATTGTCGATTTTAGATTGTGTTTGTCTATGCGTTAATATTTTGAGTAGAGACAGAGATTTGATGATTTTGAGTTGTAGGTAAAAATCGTAAATTTTAGATGGTGGTATATTTGCTAATATTTTTTTAGCATAGACAAAGATTTGATGCTTTTAGAGGAGAGACAAAGATTTGATGCTGTTGTGTTTCTAGGAGAATATTGTGAATTTTCGATTGTGTTGGTATTTGCTAATATTTTGAGCTGAGACAAAGATTTGATGCTTCGCAGTTTGTGTGATAGATAATCATATTTGATGAACGATTCTAAGTTAGGTTCCCGATTTCAGCCTTTTGACAGCGAGCATGAAAACATATCCATTTCTTTAGTACTATTGCAAGTACATATTTTTTCGTAGTTTAATCAGTTTGTGCCACAATGTTGTCGAGGAACTGATTCATCATGAAAACGTGTCATTGTTTGTAAGGCTATCGAATTCAGTTACACTCTTTCCTCCTTCCACTCTATTTGATCGTCTTTTATGGTTAAGGAAAACCGACTTTTGAATTATGATTTGCATAAGATGTAGGTGCCGTGTCTTATTTACGATCTTCGTGTTTATACGTTATGGAATTATTTGTAAATTTACTTCTTTTTTTGTTGGTACAGTCAAAATACGAAGACCGGAAGAAGGGTTGACTGTACAATGTCAGCATATCAAGATGCAAACAATTTTTTTTTTCTTCTCTTACTTGTAACAATGTAGATGTAAAGATGCATACATTCATATTTTTCTTACTTGTACACATATGTAGAGATGTTATTGGCCTGTGTGCATATCAGATGTTTGTCTTCTGGATTGCAGAGTTTTCCTTTGAGATTTGTCTTCTTTGATTAATGTTTTTTTATAGGGTAAATTACAAACACCCCCTGAGGTATGGTGAATTTACAAAAAACCCTTCTTGTTTGGATAATTACATCTACCCCCCTCAACTATGGTTTTTTTCTTACACCTCCACCCTTATGGTGTCAAATTCAACATAATCATCTAGATTTCGTGGAATGTGCTCTAGTTTGTACTCGTTCTGTGTAAAAATACAGTTTCTGATACACTACAATCTGATATATACAAGACAAAAAACACATATTATAATCATCTTGCTTCAAAATGTAGAGTTCGAATGTGATAAAACGGGTACAAAAGTGATAATATTCCATATAATCTCAAAGATTCCACTAAATTTGAGGAGTTGAAGGGTGGTTGTAATTATCCAAACAAGAGGGGGGTTTTTGTAATTTGACCATAGCTCAGGGGTGGTTGTAATTTACCTTTTTTGGATATTGTTTTAACAGTTTTGATTTGACTCACAAGAAGCAAACATCACAATTTACAACCTCTTGTCAATTTTTGGTTGCCCAAACTAAACAATATTAATTCAAAGTAATACTGAAAATTACATATTTTTTTCCAGAAATTAATTGTAATATCAATATTAATTAAATATTTTAAATTATTGGTGAATAAATTAAAATTGAGTGTCGGCAATGTTTGGATTTATTTTCGGAGTAATTTTCATTGTATTTTGGGAAAATTTATTTTGAGGGAATAATTTGAGAATTAAAAGAATGATGTCTATATCTTGAGACGAGACAAAATATATTGAAAAATAAATTGATGTTTGTTTGTTTTTCAGTGAAGACATTTTTACTGTATAAGTCAAATCTTCTTGCGGTAGCAGTCAAATAATATCTGGAACAGGCAATTTGTTTGAAGAATCTTAACAAACATATATTCATTTCCAAAAAAGAATAGAAATGAGATGAAAACCGAACCAAACATTGCCAATAATTTTTTATTTCCATCCGAAAATTTTGTTCTTGGAACAACTTTTTTCATTTCAATTTTTCCTAATTGTAATTTTCATAATTTTCAAAGTCTTTAGAAACAATAATTAAAATTAATTTTATTTTCAAAAATAAAATTCAAATTTTAGCAATTTTTTCCAAAAAATAAAAAATAAAACAAGAGAAAAAGAGTTTCAAAATTCAATTCAATTGATTCTGAACTTGACCCAAAATAAAGTGAACAAAATCATCATCACTTTTCACCTCTCAAATTCCACTGTAATTTTTCCGATCATCAGAGAAATGGGTTTCCGGTGCTTCGTCGGCCTCCTCTTCCTCTCAATCAGTTTCCTCTCTTCCTCTCCGCCGGTAAAAATTAAATTGAAAAATATATATATATATATATTTGAATTCGCACAATCACAAACCCTCAAAACCCTATTTATAATCTCATTTTTTTTTTAATTACAGGCTTTCGCAGAAGAAAAAGCTTCATCAATGGCGGATGCCGCTTTCAAACTCACCACGCCGTTCTCAGTTTCACTCGACACACTCCAGAATCAGATCAAGTAAATCGCACTCTTCAATTTTATCTGCATATTTGCAAATAATTTATATTAAAATATAAAACCCTATGCATTTATTTAATAATTGGGAAATAAAAAAATTGTTCAAATTTATTATCAATACAGCTACACATTCAACAATGTTGGATTGTTGAGGCGCGCGATGACTCACGCCTCGTTTTCGGAGGAGACAACAAGGCGTTGAGCATATTGGGGGCAAGTGTGATCGAGACCGCCGTTGCACTTAAATCGTTGACGAAAAGACGTGGATATTTCGGCCAAGGATTTGAAATGTTGCAATTGCTGATGTGGCGAAAATCGATAGTTCGTGTAATGCAGACGGAACTCGACTAGGGTTGCAGAATATAGTGAGGGTATCGCACAAGACCGATGCCACGGCCCCTGCAGTAGTTTGTGGTGCATTTCGTGCAGTTTGTGGTGCAATTGCTGTTGATGCTGGGAGTTCGGATGTGGCTGGACGGATTTACGGGAAAATTCATGGTGGAATTGGAAGGGCTGATTTCTAAGGTAATGTAGGTAAAGATTGTGTGTGTGTGTTCTTTTTCTTTTTCTTTTTTGTAAATTTGCTAGATTCGATGCTTTTGAGTTGGATTGAAGAACGGTAAAATATCTTTTGAGTTTTAGTGTTGTAAATATGGATTTGATTCTGCGTATTTTGTGTGCGTTTTCTGCTGTGATTTTGTGATGGGACAACTTCTTGATTTATTTTATCATTGTATAGTTTGCGGTATGTCGTTTTGTGAGGATTCGATAAATGGTTCTAAGCTAGGTTTAGAAAGCGAGTAAGAGAGGATATCCAATCCTTTAGAATCAGGACATTGCAAAAATCACATTGAATTTCGAATCTTCATCTCTCACTGTAAGTTATATTTCAAGTCGTTGTGGAGGAATTCAAATTCATCGATTCATTTGAAATCCTTCAATTCAATTGCACCCTAATAGTATTTTTCTTGTTAAGTTTTTGTTGGCACGGTGTAGAAAGTAATTTGATGATTAATTTTCTCGTCTTGGAGTGATTATTTTCTCGCCTTCGACTGTATAAATCAAATGCGAAACATGATTTTTTTTATTATTTTACCTTCGAGATTACTCAATGTTTGGTAGTTTGATCAGTTTGCGATACATGCGATTTCCAATAGTATGCAACCATAGCTTGAAAAATTGGCCATGATTAGTTAAGCAATTAGATATTGTTGATGTTTGATTAATCCGATATTAGATGAGTCCGCAATTAGTGGGAGAAATGAGTTATTATTTTAGTTTATCGGATAATTGTGTATCGGACTTCCTATAGTTTAATTACACAATTGAGTTCTCATAAAACTACATAATTTTATCTCGACTAAATCTATGTTGACAACCAAACGAGGTCTTAGTATGTAACATCGTTCAAAATTGCATTTCCGTTTGTGTTTTATGGTTAAATAACTAAGGAGAACTAGGGCCGAATATCAAATCAAACTATTCGGTACTCGATTCGAGTTCGTTTGTTAACTAGGTCGTTTTTATTCTATAAGCTTTGGTGCTGAACTATATTTGATCGAGCTCAAGGTCGATAAAAAAATGATGACATATGTACAAAAATGATAATAATAAGAAAAGAGTTACTTGAGCTCGCTCATGTTTCGCTCGATTAAAGTCCGTTCGTGTTTGACTCAATTGATTTACACCTCTAAGAAGAACTGACGTATGATTGTGAGTGATTGCATAAGATGTACTATTGGCCAAACAATAGGTATCTTTTTTAGGATATTCGATTCTCAATTGATACTGATTTTTTGTATTTTTGTTGGTATGGTGAAGAGGTAACTTTTTTGTAATAAAACCGTGTGAGCAAAGTATTTATCAAAATCAGATGTTGATGGTATATATTTAGTTAGGTGGCATATCTTCTCACATGTGTTATTGGTTTTGTAGATGTTACACTCAGTGAAATACATCGAGTGATTATGCACGACTGATCTACACATAATAATACACACGCATGTGTATATCTATGGCGCAAAATTAGGCAATATTTTTCATCGTGTGCAGCATCTAATAGACATGTGTTATTGGCGTGTGGATATTTCAATATAAATCGTTCTTTACAGTTATATCATTTTAATCAATTTTTATCAATCATTAAGTGTAGAAAGAAATAAACATGAGATTAAAAGAGGGGAATATGCTATCAAATAATAATATGATAATCTTGTTAGCATGGTGTATTTGAAACTTTTGTTGGACTATATAATAAATTTCTTAATTTATGGTATACTTTAAATAACAAATGCAATAATTGCTAAAAGAATAATGATAGTTCTAATTTGGTGGGACTTATAACAATTTTTTTACTCCCTTATTGTTTATTTCGTATTTATGGGATGATATTATTTATTTATGCTTGTCTTTTTGTGGTTGGTGACCCTCTTTTCTTTCTATGAATAATCCAATAAAATGATGTGTAAGTATAACAAGTTAAAGCCAATTTTTATTGTATTGTCACATTTTTAATAACAAAGATAAAGTTTCTCCCTTTTAAAGTCCCAACTCCTAACAAGATTAAGACAAAAAAATCTAACCTAAAAAATGTTAGGAATAGGGTTCGATTCGAAACATTCGAACTTGGAACAAACAACGTTGTTTTCTTGTTTCACCTACTAGGCACCACTCGGGTGTTCACTTCGGTAAACCTACCGAATCGTACCACATATTTTCGAGTTTTTTAGTTTCGAGTTTTCGGGTTAATTACACCCGTTTTTGGAATTTTCGGGTTAATTACTCGATAACTAATTAACACGGTAAAAAACAGTATCGAACCAAATAGTTCAGTTCGGTAAACGGTACAAATTTTCAAAGTATTAAAATTTCGATTAACCGAAATTTCAGTACGATTTGGTACGGTTTTACCGAACGAACACCCCTGGGCACACAACTTATTGCGTTTATAATGAGAATAATTATCGAGTAATTTTCAAACACTTGTAATTATTTTATATAATTTATGTATAATTGGTTCATTTTTTTAACAATATAATAATTTTGAGTTATTATAATAATAATGATAATAATAATTAATTAAGTAAGCCCAATAGAAATGTAGGTAGGGTCAACCTTATCATCGTACACGTAATCACCCGTCCAGGTATATGATGCGCCGTATTACACTGGAAACGGCCCCATTTTGCTTTGCACCTCCCGTTCTGTAAAATTACTCCTTTACCCTCACTAGTCCCGTACAAAATCTTAGAGTAAAAAGGGCATTTTGGACCTTTAGGTACAATCCAATCAGCAACCATTTCCTGCAAACCCACATTTCGTCCAAAATAACGCACAATTCCTTACAAATTTTCTGTGTGTATATATATATATATACACACACATATATATGCACAGTAGATATTTATCGTCTGGAGATGGAGGGTCGTGAATTTTCGCACCACCAAACCACCGTATCAGTCGACGAAGGGTCGGAGGCGCTCTTCCACAGCCGCCGCCGCGGCTGCTTCTTCTTCCCCTGCTTCGACAGATCGGCGGAACCCTCCCCCTCTCCGTCCGCCGGATCGAGATGGTGGCGGAAGGCACGCGCGGCGGAGAACGGCGGCGGAGACAACAACAACAGCAGCAACAGCAGCACCCTGTGGTCGCGTGGCGTCGACGCGCTGATGAAGATCCGCGAGTGGTCGGAGATCGTGGCCGGGCCGAGGTGGAAGACGTTCATACGGCGGTTCAATCGGAACCGGAGCGGGAGCAGGGCGGCGAATTTCCAGTACGATCCGCTGAGTTACGCGATGAATTTCGACGAGGGGCCGGGGCAGGGGCAAAACGGTCAATTGGACGAGGAAGGGGAAGACGGCTACTACTATGGTTCTCGAAACTTCTCTTCAAGGTACGCCAAGGGTTCAATGGACCTCGGCAAGGATGGGCCCACCTTCGTCTAACCTGCGCCGGATTATTTCGTCTAACCTGCGCCGGGTAATTTGATTGGTTGGAATTTGGATACATCTTTCTCGGTAGGCAGTAAGTCCTCAATTTATTGTTAATTACAGCTCATTTTTATTTTTTTAATATTGTATATATTTAAAGATGAATTAAATTAAGATTTTTTTTTTTTTTTTGCGTGCAAGTTTTTTAAAGGTTTATGATTATTGTGTGATTTCATAAAAAAAAAAAAAAAAAAGTGGATTAATTAATAATTGTTGTTTTCTTGTTGGAGGAATAAAGTAAGTTTGTTTGGTGCGGGGTCAAACCTAAGTGGAAACTTGAAATGACACCTTTTTTTCTCCCTTTATGAATTAAGAGTTATTATATTATTGCGTGACGTATCGCCCGAATAAGGAATGCGATATGATAAATGTCGTTTTTGTTTTAAAAATATCATTTCGACTTTGACTGTGATTTTGACTATTTTTTGTCTGAATTTGGCAAAACTCAAAATTTTGGGATTTTGTAGTTCTTTGAATTAGTTTTCTAATCGAATTTGAATCACCAAGATTAGATACTCGTGGAGAAATATATGCATGATGCAATGAACACTGCTCAAAACTTTAATATTTGACATCAACTTATTCGTGTATAACTCTGTCACCCGACATCCAATCTAGCTAAATTTATATTGGATAAGAAATTTATATCGAAGGACTACAATTCTTGCATTTTGCATTTTGCCAAGATCACATTGAAATCAAACGTTATTAGTAAAATTGAAACGACATTTGACATTTCATATAAGGAATTAGACTACAAATTTATGAGGCATGATCGAGGCACTAGCAAAATATCAGTATACAATCAAAATGCACACTTTATATCAAATTGAATTTTCAAAAAAATCAATAAATTTCGAATTGCTGCTGCCAAACAATAAAAAAGCATTCCAATTTCCACCTAAAGAAAATTACTTTTTTACTTCCAAACACAATTATATAACTTTTCGAAAATACTAATTACGATCCGATCCGATCAGTCCGATTCTCATACATAAATACACGGCTCTAATAATACACCGCAATCTAGTGCATACAATCTTTAGGCCAAATTAGTTACTACAACATTGTTTCTTTCACCAATTAGTTACAACATAGTTAGGTCATTCAGACAGAGGGATACTCAATAAGCATCCTATTTTTATCAGACTTAATATCCATCAAAACATCACCCACTGCCCAAGGAAACCCTAAACAATGCTCACTCCCATCAACATAACTCGGATGATACGTCACGTAATACCATGCCGCCGCCAACTTCCGCTGGTCCTCCTCCACCGCCTCGTCACACCCACTCCTCAGCCACCCTTTCACCTCCTTCATCAAGCTCTTCACCGCCACCAAAACCCTATCCCTCACCTCCCCGTACCTCCTATTATCCCTCTGCAAGTAATCCGACTTCTTCCGGAAGTTTCCGGTCAGAATCTCCACCTCGCTCGCCGCCCCGTAGTACCTCAACAACGAATCCATCCTATCCAAGTACATCTCCTTATGTTCTTTTGCAATCTCCACAAACGATTCGTAGCCGTCGATCACGAGATCTTGATCGAAGTAATCGTGCGGTGAGATCTTGTTCTTCTCATCCGAGTGATTATCATTCGATTGGTCGATGAATTGTACGGTGGCTCGGTAGAGTTTGCCCAAAACGCCCTTGGAGATGTATGTGGGCTGTTCGAACCGCTCCATGAAGTCCGGGAATTCACGGGGCTTGAGGGCCCGCGGCATCTCCGCCGGAGCTCCGGATTTGGCGAAATCCACCGCCATTGAGTGGAGTGTGGCTAACTCGAGGCATTTGGCATCTAGGGCTTTTTCTGGCTCTCGATCCGCGTGGATCAAATGTGCAGTCGAGATTGTTCCGAGTGTGTCGCTTATCATGTAGTCCGCAAAGAATCTCTGGATTTCCTGAAAATCGAAGCATGGAAAAATTAATTAGAGACACCCTTATAATTTATAAATTCTTAATCTACCACCATCTTTTATAAAATCAAAAGTTAATTTTATGCTAAAAGACTATTATACCCTTGCAAAACTCATCACTCTTCCTCAGAAAATACGAATATTACGAATCACTAAGGGTATTTAGGATAATTTCAAATAAAATTATTTTTAAAATTTTAAAAATAAATCGGTGAAACGAGAGGATTCGAGACTGGAAATAGCACAACCTCGATGGATTTCCAACACAACAATGTGGCGATAAATCTGTTTAAAAGTCTCACTCGATAATAAACTCAAGAAACAGTTCTTTGTTTTTTTTTTGAAAATAAACTCGAGAAACAATTTGAGATTACCTCTAAGGTGACATCATGGTCCATAATTCGAGGGCGCCTACCAGTGTAGTCCATGGGGTCCACCGTTCGAGGCGGTACTAAATTTTCATCCCAGCTCACGAAATACAAATCACCGTCAAGATCACCGCCTGAGCATTCGTTCGGGTGAGGCCTGTAAAAAATAGCAAATTTAATTTCTAACCTTCCGATTTATTAAGAAAAAGAAAAAAAAAAGACGAAATTTACCTATCTCCTTTCTGAGGGAAAACAAGGCAGTCGACTAAATTATTCTCCTGTAATTTCACATCCAACACTGCTTCAAGAACCCTGACATCACCCGGATGTAAGCACGGGTTTTTTGTGACAACAACTTTCCCTTTCAACACAGCTGTAGTTTCATCGATCCTATGAAAGAATCTCTGATTCCCACTCTCAATTTCAGACATGGTCATCGTAATTCTTACATAAACCTGGCCGTACTCCAAATTCCCCGTTTCATCCAAAACCCCAACCAACACACGACCCTTCGGCACGAAAATACGGCCCCGACTTCTCAAATCAGAGAGCTGATTCTCGAGATGCGACTTGAGCATCATACACAAATACGGCTCTTTACTTGGTTGGTACCCTTCGGTCAACATTCTAGTCAAAACCCTCTTCATCTCACCGCCACCTGCCGCCTCCAAAACATTCAGCGCCGCCTCTTTTTCGATCAGTATTTTCCCCAACTGTTTCAGCTGCTCGTCTTGCATGGCCAATAAAACACCATCTTCGACTCCCAAAGTAGACAACAATGTAATAATTTCTCTGTTTAAGTAACAGGGCTGTGACTCACTCCACTTGGTGATGTTCAGCATGCAGTTGTCGGATTCGAATTTACGCATGCTGCCCCTCAGCCCTAGCTTCCGGAAGGAGTGACGGTCAACCACCACTACCCCTTTATACCCACCGTACCGTATCTGAAAAGCCGAAGGCATATGAGACAGCCCCAATTTTTTAACAACTTCTCTTGCGAATGCGTAGGACATCTTTCCTATACCGTCCGAGAAGCAGTACTTCACGTAGTCGGTGGTGACTTCGATATCGGGGATTAGGTCAACATCGCGAGGTTGCACCGTAAGAGTCTGCACCGACGAGCTGAAGAGCTGGCCCATTCTTGCAGCACATTTAGCGATGCTTCTGATCTTGGTAAACGAACCCATCCACTCTCTGATATTGTCAGCTTTTAAGGTTTCACTCGAAGCAAACATCCAAACAGAGTTCGATCGGAGTTGACTTGCAGAGAAAGCCAAGAATTCGAATTTCTTGTCCCCGATGACAATCCCGTCTCGGAGAATGGATAGAATCCGACGGTAGATATCCGTTCGGTAGGGCTTGGAGAATATTCCACGATTGATGCTCGTGGAAACGGAGTTGGCGGAGATTCTGCCCCAATCTTCGTCGACGAAAGTGACCCTTACAAAATCGGAGGCGTGGGAGGCGAAGTTCTTGACTATGTAGTTTGAGGACTCGAGCTCCGGGCCCACGCAGAATATTCTCGACGGGGTGACGAGGATTCTGTGACAGCTCATCACATTATGATCTTTTAGTCTCTTGAAGCTTTCCGAAGGAAGATTCTTGACGTTGTGAATGCTCATGGAAGATCGGGTTTCGATGAACGATTTGGGCTCGTAACAAGTTGAGTGCAACTTGTGCATTTTTGCAAGAATCAGCAGAGCTCTGTCCATGTCTAGTTCGCTCAGGGTTTGAAAAAGATTGTTATCAACAGAAGCAAGGCTCATCTTTTGCGTGTGTACTAAAGAATTGATTTGGAAAAGGACTTCATAAGGGACTCGAAAATCGGGGCAATTCGGAATAATCGGAACTAAATCGGAGGAGGGGGCATTGTTGAATCTTGCTCCGTCTTCAAGATATAGTTCGATCACGTCTTTGGAGAAACACGGCAAAGAGGTGTACGCGTCTAAACTGGAGAATCCTTCTTTGATTTCCCAACAGAGAGAAGACAAATATCCGATCGACTTGACTTTCGAAAAGTCCGTTGTTCGAACCCAAGCAAAATCAAAGTCTTCTTTGCAGATGCGATACCGGTCAGTAGCAGGGAATCTCGACGAAACTTTGGGTCCGGAAATCTTTTTATATACTTTCGGCGCATGCTTCAGCTACAAAAGAAAACCGGAAAAAAAACCCGAAATTCAAATAGCCGAATAAGCGAAATCGAGATCCATACAGCAAGAATAAAACCCCAGTAGAAACAGCACATTATCATCCATAATCAAATTATCCAACCCTAAAAATTAAATAAAAGAAATAAATTTGCTGATTAAAAAATTCATGAAATTCATACCTTCAAAAGAATGGCGTCAACTTTCTCACCACCTCTATCCAAACAGCACCTCCCACTCTCCGCCACGTCACCAAACTGCACCTCCAATTTATAAGACTCGCCGTCATAAATTACAACAAAATCGAGCCTCTTCCTCTCCGGCATGAACCACAGATCCCCAACCCAATTTTCCAGAACCGCCATGCAGTTATCCCTAACCATAACGCCGGCAACGAAACCCGACCCGGCGCAATTTCCGACCCGGTTCGTGGGATCGACGGGTCTGATGATGACATCTTCGGAGGAGGGAAGGATCGAGAGGCGAAACCCTTTGAAGATTAGGTTTCCTTGTTCGGAGAGCGACAGAGCTTTGATCTTCGCTTCTTGTTCTTCGAACTGGACGCGGCCGTGGCCTCTGGACTTCCAATTTGTCCGCTCGGTGAAGATTTCGACGGCGAAGATCGTGCCTTTGCCCACGGCGGATTCGAGGAACGTTTGGAGCTCGTGCGCTATGATGGTTTGAGGGATATTTTGCACTTTTACTGTGAGTGTAGGTCTTCCTGTATCCATGGCAATGGCGGTGGCGGTGGTGGTGGCGGCGGTGGTGGTGGTGGTGGTGGTGGTGGTGGCGGTGCGGTGGTGGAAGGGGAGGAGAGGAAGAGAGGGGTTTTATGGGGTTTTGCGTGTGGTTTTAGGACTGTTTGGTTGGTGTGGTGTAAAAATCGAATTGTAAATGGGTCTGTCTGTAATTAATAATTTGTGCTGGGTTTTTGAATTTGTTTCTATTTTTACTTTGGAGAAAAATAGTTTGGGTAAATTTCTTTTTTTTTGTTTATTTGATAATTTGGGTAAATAATTAAAGACTGGTGGTTGGGAAATTGGAATTGGACCGGAAATCGAAATCTTGTATGTATTCCAATTCCAATTCAAAAACTGAAAAATGGAATTTTGTAATTTGGGATTAAAAAAAATGGTTCAAGGTCGAATTTTCAAATTGGAACCGGTTGAAATTGATTTACATAATAAATTGAAAGTTTTGAAATTATTTTTGGAAATTGCAATTGGGCCGGAAAATCGAAATCTCGTATGTATTCCGATTCCACTCCAAAAAAGGTCCAAAAGATCGGTATTTGAAATGAAAAATACTTTTCCCAAAACGATAAATTTTTTGATCGGAATTAGTGAAAATCGATAAATTCCGTTGCGATGGGACTTGCTATTTACGATTTGAAAATTGCTATTTACAGTTTATAAAAATACTTTACCTCTCTAAAACCCCAAAACTTCCCAAAAAAATTCAAAAACCCCCCAAAACGCGTAAAAGCCCAATTTGGGCGCCCATTCATGCAGTGCACCCCCAAGTTGGGCGTGCAAGCTGCATTTGGGCGGCCGAGTTGGGCGTCCAGTGCAAAAAAAAAATTCTTTTTTTAATTGAACGCCCATCTTGGGCTTTTTAACATGAAATTGGTTCTGTAATAGACCTACCCAATGCATATTACACATAAAAGAGTCGAAATTACATCAAAAAATCGAAGCCCAACCCTTCTTCAAGCTTGATTTCGAATTTTTGAATTTTTTTTTTTTTTTTTGCTATTTGCAGTTTGGGAGGTTTTTGGATTTTTTTTGGAAAGTTTTGGGTTTTTAGAGAGATAAAGTGTTTTTTATTAAAAACCGTAAATAGCATTTCATGTTGCAATTGAGCCCTTTGGTCATTAATTAAGCTATTTTGGTAGTCACTTTCTTGATCATTAGTAATCATTAAGATAATTCTTTAATCCCAATGCTGCTAAGGGGTATTTGCACTCGGCTCCCCTGTGAAATCTCTAATTGGCAAAAAAACCCCTCGGATAAAACAATTAGCAAATACCCCCCTATGAAAGGAAGTCAATGACAATAAGGACCCTACGAGCGAATCGTGGGATACACTCGCGGTTCATGCAGCTGGGCGTGCGTTTTAGGACATTTTAGGACAGGAAAAGACATAAAAACCCTTTGTAAGAGGAAAAAAACCCAGATTTATTTAATTATAAATAATCTAAAGTTATAGGACTAAATTGTAATTATCAAAATTGTCAAAACAAATATAAAGAATACAGGAAAAAAAAAAAGAATAAATCGTCTTCTTCCCCAAATAATTGAACCACTCGCCTTCCTCCATCCCCACCCCCTTCCTCCATCGCCGCCTCCCCCTACCCCAACCCACCACCGAACCACTCCACCCATCCAACTCACAACTAAATTTTGGATATTTCAAATTGAAAACTGTAAACAGTAAATCACCTCCTCAAACAAACCAGCCAATAGAAACACGAAATTAGGAAATTCAAAAACACAAACACTTCACTGAAAATAAAATAAAAAATCAAAAAAATAAAAACCACGTGCTCGTCACAAGCAGTACGTTTCAATCGACACGCCGGTGAAGAACAATGTTTATCGGCATATGAAAACTGCCGATTCAGCTGGATTATAAGGAAAACGGCGAAATATTCGCCGGAAAAAAAAAACGAAAAAGCAGATTCAAAACAGAGAATCAAAACTCGCTTCCGATAGCAACGGAGATTTGAAACAGTAAGAAATCAACTACAGTTTGTTCCGACGGAGAAGAGAGAGAAATTCGGCAACGGTATTGCATTCAATCGGAGTTAATATGAATTGAATACTGGTTTTATTTTGACGCGGTAATAATCAGAAAAATGAAATATCCCCGCCGCCGCCGCTGCTGCCGCCGCTGCTGCCGCCGCCGCTGCCGCCGCTGCTGCCGCCGCCGCTGCCGCCGCTGCCGCCGCCGCGAGTTCAGATCTTCTCTAAAGTCGTCGCCAATCGAGGTCCGGCGAGCTACACTTCGCCGAATTCTCCGACGAATAGCAAAGCCCATCGCAAAATCCTCTCAAACACAGCTGCCGTTGAGCTATGAGCTGAGAAATTGAAATTGAAGTGTGCGTTGTTTTTTTTTTTTCAATTGGAGAAGAGGGCTAAATTGAAAGTGCTAGGGACTGAATTGAAAATTTTGAAAATTTCATTTGAGTCATAAAATTCTAGAGGTTGGATATATTTAGAGTAAAAAGCAGTTTACCCCCTAAACTATGGGCCGATTTGCACTTTACCCCCCAAACAAAAAAAAATTGCACGTTTTTACCTAAACTCGTCAATTCGTTGCACGGTGCCCCCTGAACTCAATTTTCCGGCAATTTTGTCCGAAAAGTTGAAACATGTGACTTGCACGTGACATTTGCAGGGGTATATTCGTCCATTCACTTACATGCTGTATATTAAATATAAATTAAACAAAAAAAAATATATATTGAGTCTTCTTCTTCCCTTCGCCCACCGTGCCATCACCATCCCAAAAAATCCATCAGCCACCGTCCTCCACTCTATCGCAACCACCGACCACCAATCCCACCGCAGCAAATCATCACTTCCACCTCTAAACTATTTCCAACTCACCGCCATTACTTGCCTCGTTTCCTCCATTTACCGATCGAGTCTTCGACCATACAAGTATAAAACAAATATTCCCCAATTTCTTTTTAAGAAATCACCATCACCGGCAAATCATCTCCACCTCCACCTTCCCCACCTTGATTCCACCTCTAAACTAATTTCAACCCGCCGCCGTCACCTACCTCGTTTCACGGTGCACAACACCGCGCCACAGGCAACTATTCCTCACTCTGTATTTTTTTCCCGACGCGCACTCTTCCAACTTTTATTTTCCTCCAATTTTATTTCATCATTAAACGAACACGCGAATTTCACTGAAATTAATTTATTGAAAATTTGTGCAATTGCAGAATTATCCCATATCGAAGCATTGATCGTGTTTCCTCTTCTGCAGTTGTAGATCCGAATTTTGGATGCATCGGAGCGTATTCATTACCTTCCCAATTTTTCTTTTTAAAAAAATCACCATCTCCGCCTCTGCTCCTCCGACGTCAAATATCCTAACCTCATCCCCATCTTCTTTGGATCTATGGGCAAAATAGGATTTGAAGACATTTTATTTGAACCGGATCTGAGCCGCCGAGGAGATGTAGTGCACCAATTATCGGAGATGGATGCTGCTGTTATTTTTTCGGCGGGGAATGTTATCTGGCTCGCCGACGAAGCTATATCCGTGAGAGGAGGAGCGGTGGTGGTCATCGGAGAATTTTGGAATTTTTTTAAATTAGTGTTTCAGATTTTTTTTTTTGCAGGCATGAATTGGATTTTTGGGAAGAAGATGGCTGATGGTCTGATGGGTTTTTGGGAAGAAGGTGGGTGATGGTCTGATGGGGTTTTGGGAATGAACGTGGGTGATGGTCTGATGGATGAAAGCTTTTTTTTTTCCTTTTTTTTTTCTTTTTTTTTTTTTATTTTCTTTTTTATTTTCTTTTTTATTTTTTTTTTTAATATTTATTTGCATTTAATATTAAAGATGCAAGTGAATGGGCGAATTTACCCCTCAAAATCTCATGTGCAAAGCACATGTTTTAACATTCCGGTCAAAATTGCCGGAAAATTGAGTTCAGGGGGCACCGTGCAACGAATTAACGAGTTTAGGTAAAAACGTGCAAAAAATTTTTGTTTGGGGGGTAAAGTGCAAATCGGCCCATAGTTTAGGGGGCAAACTGCTTTTTACTCATATATTTATCTGAAGGGCATTTTTGTCATTTCGCGTAAGTCAACGAGTCAGTGCACACAAAGGGGCGGTGGGCTGACTAAAACACAACATAGGGGGTCATATGCTAATTTTTTTTTCCGGGGGGGTTTTTTGCTTCCGAGAAATAACACAGGGGGGTCTATGCAATTAACTCTGCTGCTAATGATCCACTTATTGACCTGACCACTAATTCAGTCAAAAAGAAGTGGCTTTTTCAAACCATTTGCAGAATAATCAATGGTGCATGCTTACTCTCGAAAACAAAATTATGATCAATTAATCAACAGTCAAAAAACGAGCAATTTTACCCGTTTTTCGTGTCCGAAAATCGAATCGGAAGAATCCCTTTACACTAAATTGCTTCCATTAGGCATAGGCATAACAATGCTTTCATCTGTATCCGAAAAAGTAGGAAATTTACCTTTCTTGGACCAAAGCCAAATCTTGGAAACAGAGAAGCTATCACCTCGACTCCTAGGATCGATCTTCTTACCATCGATTCCTATATTAGTATTATCGAACTTCTCTTTAGTACAACATCGAACATCGTTGCCACTAAACAACGCCACTTGTACGTTTGCATGACCAACAATGTACTCAAATGCCCCCATAGAATAACATCTTCTAGCATCAACAATTCTACTAGTGCTGCCGCTTACATCATCATCTCGCCTTTGATCTTCGTTTGCTAATCCTTCGCTTAATCTTCTAAACTTCCCAAGACAAACAGGGAAAACCATTGACGGGCTTTCTTGGGAAATCCCATTTGGTTGGTCGTAAGATAATTCCCATTTTGCCACTGGATTATTTCGGTGAGTGGTACTAATGAGACCTCTACATAGAGGGCAAGTCGAGTTCGAAAGAAGCCATGTTTCGATGCATTGAATGTGAAAGGCGTGGCCACAATCAGGAAGAAACTTGAGCTTATCGCTCTCCGAGAATTCGCAGAGACAAACGGCACAATCGAACGGTTCTTTAGATCCCATTACTACTATTACATCCTTGTAGTAAAAAACGGGCAGAGCGTCGATCGAGGAGCGGTCGAGGCCGGAGTCGTGTGACCGGAAAAGATGCTGCAGTTGCCTCTGGAAGGTTCTGGAAGATGCTGCTCTAGAAGGTTCCGGAAGTCTGATGTCTGGTTGCGAAATCGAGGGAAATGGTGACGATGGACTCTTCATTAGAAATCTGATGAGAAGTTGGAGTAGGCCAAGCACAAAGAAGCCAATAGATAGAATGACTATAACTAGAAGCAGCATTGGGCTGATTTTGGCCATGGATGAGAACAGGGTTTTCGAGATTTTTTTCAGCTAGGACTAAAAACAAATAGGTGGTGGGCAAGAACTATAAGTGGGAGATGTAGCTGACTTTAAACCAAGAAATGTGTGTGTGTGTGTGTGTGTGTGTGTGTGTGTGTGTGTTTAATAAGAGATATAACAGAAGACCCTTGTGCAGGAATTTATTATATAGGCGGAATATATATATGCAATAAATATATATGTATGTATATGTGTAGGTGTGTAAGAGAAGAAGGTGACAGGAAGAGAATAATATCTGAAGATGCAGGTGGGATAGCAGAATCAGAAGTGAATTAGCAGACAGTGAATATTAATTAATACACCTTTATTTGGTTGGTTGTGAATTGGAACTACTTGTTGAGAATATATATATATATATATATATATGGACAGCAGAGAACAAATGTCAAACAAGATTACTGTGTGTTTTTTTGTGTGAGAGAGAGAGAGTTGTAGAGAGAGAGTGGATTCAATGGTTTGAATACAAGAAAACAGAAAACTAGAAGACAAGGTTTTATGGTTCCTGTCTTTTACTTCACCTGATTTCGTATGTTCACTTTCACCAACCTTATGGCCTCTGTCTATCTATTGTCTTTAATATATATATATATATATATATATATATATATATCTCATAAACATTTATTTCCTAAATAAATAATCTTCAAGAAGAAAGCATTCAAGCCGTAATACTACGGAACTCTGCATAGCACGATGGTTCGGACAAATACCAGGTAGTTCTTATACAAGTTTCGTAAACTACAATCATTTCTTCAATAAATTTCAATGCCAAAAACAGGAGCCCTCACATAGCCAACCAGAGGTAACACAAGAAGATAATCCAACGAACGAGAACAAAGTAGAGAACACGTAAAACTAACGAGATAGATCATGGTTTGTAACTCTACAAGTCCTTTGATGACTGACTAATAACACTACTGGCTGAAAATTTGTCGAAGAATATGGCTTATAACTTTTCCCCGTAGTTTCAAAATGGGATTGAAGTAGAAGAAAAATAAAAGAAATTATAGTGAAATATCGCGCCAATTATATCGCTTATTAAATCATGTCTTGAGATCATCTGACATGGCTGATGGTATACAGTGGGTGGAAAGAATGTCCAATGTTGCTGCTTTCGCAGTCTTCGTTTGGAGGACCACAATCTGTACATACCGAAAAATAATTAATTAATAATTAAAAAAAAAAATTGCAGTTAGAAAAATGTCGGCGAAGAAAAAGAAAGCGCCCACACCTGCTGGTATTCCAAATCGAATTTCAAATACTCATCACTGCAGCTTTCTACCATGCTAGCTAAACTTTTCAGATTCTTCACGGGCTGACCATTAAAGGCAAGAACCTAAATTTGTCGAAACGAGAAAAGGAAGAGGGTATATAAAAAGTTAAGCATATCACAGTATGAAAAGGCTGGCGAATTGAGTGGTTGATTACTTGATTATTATAAGGATAGGCTGACATTGACCACTAACCTGAGTGTTGACAATTTCTTCGTATCCGATGTTTATATCAGCCACAAGCACCTTTAACAAAGTTTCACAAGCAGACAAAGTGTTAAGACAAACGATGAATGATCTGTACTGTAATATAATGACAGGTCAGCGTTATGGTGATGTCAGGATAACCTGAGAAACAACGACAATTTGTTCCTCGGCTGACTGGCGCATTTCGTGCAAGAGTTTGTCTAGCAACTTGACTGGAGCTTCGTACTCGTAATCTTTTCCATACTGGAGATGACAGAAAAAGGATATATAATAAGCAAATTGAACAGAATCAATCATCTAAATATATCTTCTCCTTTAGTTGACGACAAAATTGAAAATCATGTAAACAGAGATTAGTCGCTAATTTATTGCTCAACTACAACTCAGGCAATTAGCTGTACCAATTATATCTGATTTGTTTATTTCTTGAGTCATCTCGAGGACTGGCTTACTAAAAGCCTGCTAACACAAATGGAAATAGAAAAACCAAAAAGAAAAAGCTCTCACTCACGGTATATCAGTTCGGATAAAAAGGCCAGTGCAGGCTTAAACTACGATCACTGTTTTCTTATTTAATATTAATTCAAGTCAGGTATTGAGCAAAGTTGCACCTATGCTCTTTATACATGTGTGGTTGCTGTTGCATTGATGCTTATCATACATATCATACAACTCATAAATTGGGCGTACGTGGTTAGCAGTAGAAGGCAGATTTTGTGTAACCGTCCAATATTATAATAGAAAAACACTTTGTGATACTCACTTAAAAAAATACATAAAAACAGACATTTTATAATAAAGATTTGGTCCAGATGCTTTTAGATAGAATTTTAGGCAAGCATAAAAGCTCATAAAGAGCAATCCATGAGGTCATCAAGCAGAATAAATAATAAAAAATGAAAAGAAACAACACAACCATCCTCTTTTTCTATGAAAAAAATCATAACACCGAATTGCTTAATAAGGATTGAATGAAACATTGCACTCAACCATGAATAAGCAGGTAGACAAAAAGTGTTATAAACACTAACCTCAGAACGGAGATATGGAACGGAAACAGTCGTAAAAACAAATCCAGCAACGATATAATATGAGGGAGGTTTGCCCCTGTTGTGAGCTGGAATGAGCCTTTTATGTGTATCAAGTTTGATATTGAACTTCAAAGTTTCAGAACTACGAAGAACTTTTATTGCAGCATTATCTCCACTATACTTTTGCGACACTAGGTAGCTAAAGCCTATGCGCTCTCCATGCCTAAATGGAACTGCAAGCAACCAAACAAGTTGTAAGACTCATTTATACCATGTAGTTTAAACAGAAGAGATGTCGTTGAATGAAGCGTATGTCAATGAAAGTAAAGATAGAATAAGTTTGGTGTTCAAAATCAGAGATAGATAAGGGAACTTCTGGACATGATTACGAGTGTAAACGAACCAAGTCAAGTCTAACGTGTCATTCCAAAAATTCTATTTGAGCTCAATTTGATTATTAGTTGAACTGAGGTTGAACAAGATTTAATCGAGTCAAACACTAGTCAATGTCGACAAGCTTGATGTTTCTACACATGTTTTACTACTCTGGTTGAGCCCAAGCTAGTCTCCAGACCTTTATTGGACGAAATTATGTCTTGCAACTTATGTTAACAAACCGAGAAACGAGTTTTTACCCCTCTGCCACGTTTGAGGATTAAAAAGAAAAAAAAAAGCAACAGATCAGATCCAGTTTCATGCAGCCGTTCAAAACCCCTAATTGATGGCAATACAAGAAACATGCGTCTTTTCTGAAGTTGAAATTCAAAATAGCGGCATACAAGTAAACAATGATGCATAAGGAAAGAGGAAGAAGAGGAAGGTGAGAGTTGTGAATCTATTCATCAGTGTGAAGTCACAACCCTTAATCTGCATCTTACCTGTTCCGTCATTAGCAATATCAACCCTATCAAAGCTAAGGATTATATCTGATGGTTTCAAAACCGCGAACTCTGGAGCAGTAGGATCGATTCTTCTTATGCGCACACCCTTCTGATCAGGTTTCATTCCCATGGACAACCGCAAGTCTGGATTTTCCATCTTCTGCCACTCAACACCAAGAATAGGAAATCCTGGCAGATAACAAATAATTTGCGTGAAGAGTGGAAGAATATTGATTAAACAGAAAAAAGGACATTTCAAGGAGGAGTCATATTAGTAATCACAAGGCAGAGCATAGCCCATTTTAATCCCATACGCACACAGTACAACACATTAAATACCAGACAAAATATAACCACAATTACAGTCCGAACGAACTGAGGTGCACACTTATATATTATTTAATGATATGTATGTATATATATATATATATATATATATATATATATATATATATATATATATATATATATATATATATATATATATATATATATATATATATATATATATATATATATATATATATATATATATATATACATATATATATATATATATATATATACATATATATATATATAAACAGGTAAAAACTAATAAAAATAGATGCATATCATTGAACTAATAATTTTTTTTCAAACCTCAACATAAACATAAAGTTCAATACTAATCTAAATCTACTATATAACTTAAAGTTTGTTCGTTAATCCAATATAGAAAAGAAAGAACAAAAACAGAATATTGGGTCAACCAGTGTTGTCAAAAGAATGGTCAGCAAAAGAAGAAGAAAGAGAAGTTCAGAATTATACCAGTATATTTTCCATTCTTCTCATAATCTTGGATAAAGTGCATAATGACTGGTGTTGGTATGACATAACCGATGTTCTCTGCATCCTCATGCTTGAGTGATTGGAACGCAATACCTACACAATTTCCCTTGTCATTAAAAGCAGGGCCACCAGAATTTCCAGAGTTAATAGCAGCATCTATCTGCAAAAGAACATTTTTCACAAAGACATCAGTGCAATTTTAGTCGGAACCCAGATTTTAGGAGGTTGAATTGCAAATCAAATACCTGCAACCCCAGAAGTTCAGTTGATCCATGAACATATGAAAGAATTTCTATTCGTGACACAACCCCGCTTGTTACAGATATTGTATCACCCCCAATTGGATAACCCACAACTGTAACAGCATCTTGCAGTGCAGGCAGATCCCCAAACTCTACAGGTGAGACCCCTTCCCAGAACTCATCATCATCTACTGTAAGCAAAGCTGCACCATCATATAAACCAATATTAACCTCAAAAAGTATATTTTAGTTCTTTTTTACGTCGGAAATATTTCTTCGGGTCATTATGCAATCTAATTACAGGTCAACAATCAGCACATCATAGTGCACTGGGAGAGGGACAAAAAGAAAGGTAGTTACAAATAGAAATAACATACTTTAGCTCATCAGAAACAACCCTTCTATTCTTCCTAATTCAAGACTACCAGGGGCTTTTTCAATGAGGGATGGAAGCTATATAAGGCAAAGTCTACGATGGTTTCTCAATGAGAGCCTATATTTCTTTCTAGGTGTGCTAGAAGTTGCAAAACATGCTCTAAAACCCTGGAGTAATCCAGTTGCCTGCAAGAACCTACCAGTACCGAGGTCTATTCCTACCACAACTTCCTTTTTTTCTTTTCTCTGCATTATACAAAGAAGCCTATCTATATTCTACTAGTGAACATGTTACGAGTACTTTACGTTAACAACCAATCCAATGTTTATTACCATTTTGTGTAGAAAAAATTGCTAACCACAAATAACCAAATGCCCCATGACATGGGCATGAGCTATGTATTCCAAAAGTAAAATTTACTGAATTGCAATCATGAAGATGGAGACAAACTGGTTTTGTTTCCTAATATTGTTTTAAGCATCGACAGGTGATACCAGGTTCTCAGATTTCATTATTCAGAAATCCCAATACCATTAAAGAGAAGTGTACCAGTAACAGTAACTACGTCCAACCAGTCTTTTACCCGTGAAACATTCTGAGTAGTTTTGACAGATATATAGGATAGTTTCATGCCCAGTAAGACAAATAATTATATGATGGCACAAATGCACAATGCATTAAACCTTGAAGAATTCTTCTAGGAACCACATACAGAATCATAATCGATTAGCCTTTCAAAAAATCAACTACTAGACCAGTTAAAAATCAAAAACCTAGGGAAGTAACCCGACATTAACACATTAACTATGTCTATAACAATCTTGTAATTATATTTTTTGAGAAATTATGCGACAAGCAATATCATTTTAACTCTTGATTAGCCACAAGGCATTCAAACCCAATGAGCATCTCCAATCAGAGATATCTACATCTAGTGCCGCAAGCAGACCAGTCCTAAGCACATCAAAAGGCATAATGAGCAACTATCTCACACTATGTGATGAGCTGTTAGTGCAAAGAAACTTTAACTATTTGAAATCCAATTATAAGCCCATCTTCTTTCACTTATAGTGATGACTATGTTAAGGCTTGAACAAGTTGATTTCTTAAGCTTGATTTAAGACAAAGCTGCAAGTATTCAGAAAATTCAAACCAAATGAACCAAAAGTACGGTTTCTTCCCAATTATACTCTCTATTTCAGAAGAAGAAATAGACAATTTTCAAAAATCACTAATGTTGAAGAGGCGAGTGCTCCAGGAAAATAAAGTACTGCAATCCAAAGTTCCATAACCATGTCTATATGAAATTTAGGCAGCAAATCACGGGCATTTCAACTATAGATCAGACTAACGATTTTTAAACGGAAATTGTATCAAAGCTCAAAAAGTCCCTATCTAGGAACCACATATAAAATCAAAAGAAGCAGTTTCAAATTTAGCATAATCCACTAAAATCATTTTTTTTTTTAAATCCTATAAAATATAGAAGAGGAACCACCATGGTGTTGCAATTTTTCAAATACATTAAATAGTTTTACTGATATTATGTCAAGTCGTCAACACAGCAACATAGGGTCATTTGTACACGTAATTAGCCAAGAATCTCGCCAAGACAGAATCAC